CCAGACGGTTTTATTTCAAGTTTTCTTTCTCTTTGCAGTGCTATTGTCCTGCGTTGATTGCTCCCTTAGTCAGCTCTTACGACACCCACGGGATTAATAGGAGTGGTCACAATCTGTATTCTTAATCCATCACCACACGTATAACCACTATTTAGTATATTATATATTTATTCGTAGATACGATAGATAAACAGAAGCATAACTACTGGTAATAGTTTTCAATTAACAAAACTCCTATCAGTCGTATCACACCTTCCACAAGCTTCACCAGACATGTCTGATAAAGTGATAGATAACACCGTGTCCAGTGGTGTTTTAACAAACGTTAAGTCAAGATAAACACACGCCCTACCTAAATTGACACACTTAACATACAAAGAGCGCCAAATACTTCAGCGTATTGATAAAAGTTAATGAATTGTAAATACATTATAATGTTTTAACAAATACTCTTTCTTGTTCTGATTTCGCTGGTAAATATTAACTTTACTATAAAGAAATATTTGTTTTGAGATAACTGAATTTGTTTTCATATCATATTCAGGTTATCGGTTACCTGTGATTTGTATGTAATTCTAGCAAATATCATCATTCTATTCAGACCTGTCATCATCAGAATTAAAATTTTCGTTGTGTTCTTATTTTTTTCGTTGAAGAAGCGGCAAACGAACACACGGGTCACCTGAGGGAAAGCGACTATCGTCGCCCATGAACCCTAACTAAGGAGTCACAAGCGCGTTGCCGGCCGGAACGAATGACTTTTTGTTGGGTTCGTCTCAGACCCAAACCGTTGATGGTTGTTTAGTTTCAGGATCATAAGCTATATGCGTAGATTCATCACCTGTGTAGATGATAGGTCTTTACCTATGAAATTGCCGTTTTGTATGCAATAAGTGAAAGTACTTATTTTTCAAACTTTTTTATTTCTGTTATTCTAAGTAATCACCCATGCAATCGACGCGTCTTTGCCAACGCATTGGCAGTTTATTGATGCCCTTCTTGTAAAAATCAGCTGGACAGGAGGCAACAAACTCTTCAAAGGCATTTTGTACTGTCTCTCGGGAATTGAATTTTTTACCCACTAAAAAGTTGTCTAAATTTTGGAAAAAGTAATAGTCGGTAGGTGCAAGTGCACTTCGAACAACAGAAATAAAAGTTTGAAAAAATAAGTACTTTCACTTATTGCATAAAAAACGGCAATTTCATAGGTAAAGACCTAATATTATAGACATATACTTTTGTAACATTCTTTACACTAATGGACACGAGCCCGTTTTTGGTCAATCCTCAAGTTCTGCGGAATCCAACGTGAACAATTTTTTTTACAGCTAAATGTTCGTGTAATACTTTATATATACTCGTCATACTTTTCCCAGAGACGCCTCTATCTCGCGATATGTAACATAACGATCTTGCATTATTAATTCCCGCACAGCATCAATATTTTGAGGTACAACAACCGATTTAGGAAGTCCTAATTTAAATTCGTCACTGAGCACAGACCACCCTCGATTAAACTTACTAAACCAGTGATACACAGTTGTTTTTGATGGAGCTTCGTCCCCAAAAGTCGAAGTGAGTTGATCGATACACTGTTTTTGAGTTAGCACTCGCCGAAAATCGTAATAAATATAGCACGAAATTTTTTGCGAGTTTAATCCATAGAGATAAAGACACGCAATTTTCAAAATGACGCCGCAAAGGATAAACAAATAACAGCTGCATGAAACAAATTGTATTCTTCAGCCAAAGAGTTCCATTTTTTCCAAAGGTAGCCCTCGTAACAATCCCGTCGATCCAGCCCAAATGTGCCACGAAAAAGAGCAGACGGGTGAGTGACTACCATCGCACGTGGACACCTAACGTGGTCCGATCTTGGTCAGGATGTTGTCGTTGTGCATAGTTTAATATTGATTTAGATTAACCATGATTGGCTTGGACAGAATAACAGCGGTTTGCATGCTTTTCACTGTCATCCATACCTGAGTACAAGACAATTTTTAACCGACTTCAAAAAGTTTATTTTCTTTTATTTGGATGTTCGGGCATAATTCTGTCACATATGGACGGATTTCCAAAAAAATATTTTTATGTACGAAAGGGGTTTATGCCGAAATGGTCTCATATAGATCTGATGATGAGTTTAGAGACAGACAACGGAAGTCTTCAAAAAATGACAGCACTTCAACCGCGATTTCTGTTAGGTTTTTGGGTGCTCTTTGTTAGTATTGTTTGAAGTCGGTTCTACTTTTTTTAAAGAAGGATTTATTATTCTCGTACAAATTAATTATGATCTTTTATATTAGATCAGCAAAATATTCAGATACGACCGGGTGGCGTAGTGGTTTGTATTGTGTTTAACGGACTGCTATTCCAAAGGTCGCGGGTTCGATTCGAGCTCAAGTCAAACATTTGTGTGCATAAACATTTAATGTTTGATTTGGTCTGGGTGTTTCTATGTATTATTAATTAATATTATTTAACGGGAATTAACGCGATCTCTTATTTAGGGTTAAATAATATTAATTATCATGGAACGCGAAAGTTTAAAAGTTTCTATGTATTTACAAAAAAAAAGTATATATGTATTTATATCAGTTGTCTAGTAGCCAAAGTACAAGCTCTGCTTAGTTTAGGACTAGATGGCGTTGTGTGAATGTAGAAAAAAAAGATACGTGTTAAAAACGCTTCCGTATACACTGTGTAACAACAAGACATCTCATTTGTCTCCTTATCAACAAAAGTAATAAACCTCACGCATCTCACACACGGCCGTCTGATTCCAAACTAGACAGAGCCTGTACTATTGTAACCAGACTGTTGATAAACATACTTATATATTTGTTAATACATTCGTATTATAGACAAGCTTTTGCCTGCGGCTCCTCCCCCCGTGTTTGTTTTTATATCGCGGCCTATGTCCTTTTTCAAGAACTAAACCATTTTAATACATAATTTCATCTAAATTGGCTCATCAGTTATTGTTTCCTCATCCAAACTTCCACTCCCCTTTTCACCCCCACAAAGCATCATTTCTTTGATAAAATCTATGCTATGTCCATTCTACCTCTGTAAACTATCTCTATAACTCATCTAAATCGGCTCAGCGGGTTAAGCTGGAAGAGGTAACAGTCAGACACACTTTCGCATTCACAATATCTTCTTCTTATATATAAAATTCTCGTGTCACAATGTTCGTTCCCGTACTCCTCCGAAACGGCTTGACCGATTCTCATGAAATTTTGTGTGCACATCGGGTAGGTCTAAGAATCGGCCAACATCTTTTTTTCATACCCCTAAATGGTAAGGGTTACCCATCCCTAATTTTTATTTTGCAATACAACGTTTGCCGGGTCAGCTAGTGATAGTATGTAGTATAGTATGGATAAACAACACTCAGACACAGCACCAATGGCATGGAACAAATGCTTATCACACATTTTTTTGTCCTGGGTGCAAATCGAACCCACGACCTCTGTCTTAGCAGGCAGGCTCATAACCAGCAGTCCAACTAGCTAGGCTGGTAATTTACAACACAGCAGTAGGCGGGTGCCTTTATTTTTTATGCGTATTTAAATCAACGCAGGATATTAGGCAGACAAGAAAGGATTAACCAATTGATTAATGGAATGTCTGCTCTTCTTTAATTGTTTCCTTTGGTAAGAAGCCCTCACAGCATAATACGAGTAATTTATCATTTAAGCAGTACTAGGTACTCACTAATGGAAGTATTTGAATATATTAAAGTATTTTTTTTATATGTAACATATGTATATACAATGTATTAGTGGTCTCCCAGTGCTCGAAATTCGACCATAATTTATTTAATTTTTAAGTTTGAACTTTGTTAGGGTTCTTTTTTCAAAGACTATACCTCTATAATCATGGCTACTCAATTCAAAATTTTGACTTTCAATACGACCAAAGAGAATATAATCTTCAAAGCCTATAGACAATTCATGTTTACTTCATTTAATAATTATTTCACAGGTTTCATAAATGTATTATTTACACTATTTATTGTTAGTATTCAATTAATTTAATGAGTTTCTTATGTATTTTATTGAAAAAAAAAAAGTTTTTATAATAATATACATACATATATATAATAATACTTTATTCACTTCTTCTCCATATAAACTTTAACTGTGTCAAATTTCACGTTTATCCGTTCTCGGAATTTTCTTAAAAAGGGGTACAAAGTTTTCGCTTTACGTATTAATAGTATTCTTAAGTAAGTAAGCATGCAAGTAAGTACGCAAGTGCGTAAAGTGTAAAAAATGATGAAGCATAAGTATGGATATATTGCCTTACATCTAACTTATTACTATAAAAGTTTATTTACCACCTATAACACCTAAACATTGGCAACAGAAACTTATCAGGCACCCCAATGACAAAAAATTACGTATTTACCGTACATTGCACTTGACAGGTTCCCTATCTATTAAGGTCATGTAATATGACAGCTGAGTCAATAGTACATTGACCCCGATTGAGATATTACATGCAGTTGCATAAAACGTATCCGAGTCTACCGTATCAGCTGTCGATATCATATTGTACCTAAATAAAATATGCATACAAAAGAGCGTGAGGATTCTATGGACCCGTCGGAACGAAGTTTCTTTCGCTTTTTGGTAGACGTTTGCTATACAGTCTTTATAATTTATACTATGAAATATTAAATCAATAGAGTTAAATTAAAAACATTTTCATCATCATCATCATCAACAGCCTTTAATAGTCCACTGCTGGACATAAGTCTCTCCTTAGAAAGGAGGTTTTGGCCTACTATACCACGCTGGCCAGACGAGTTGGTATAGGGTTTGTGTCAAGTTTACCTTCTCTCTGCAGTGCTTGTTGTTCTGCATAGTTTGCTCCCTTAGTCGGCTCTTGGGACACCCACGGAATGAATAGGAATGGTGATAGGTATTTCCAGCAGTAGACTATTAAAGGCTGTTGATGATGATATCTATATATATCCGCATTGCCGTAAAATGCGGGTAAGGTAATAAAATCAAAATTTTGAAGTTAGTGGTCTGCCTGACTGCTAAGACAGAGATCGTCTGTTTGATTCCCACCCACGACAAATAATTGTTTGATGTTGCTACACGGATGGCGTAGTGGTTCAAGCGGTCGGCACGCCGCTTCCTGCTGCGCCGAGTGTTGTGGGTTCAAACCCCACATGGGACGACACTTAGTGTGATCAACAAATTGTCGTTCAGAGTCTGGGAGTTTTTTGTGCCCGTTTCATGTATGTTTGTAAAGTCCCCTGCGACACAGGATATATTCCTAGTGCGGGAATTGTCTTTTATAAAAAAAACCCGATCGTTTACTCTGTGTAAAAATAAGTAGGTATGTTTATCAGCAGTTATGTACTACAGTACAGGCTGTGGCCGTGTGTGAAATGTGTAAGGTTATTATTATCATTATTATAATCCTTTTGTTTTCTTTTCAGTTACTACGTTGTCAGAATGCCAGAACCTCTAGCGTCACCAGAATTCAAAGTATACTGGAATGTCCCGACGATGCAGTGCAAATCAAAGAATATAATATTTGATAATCTTTTTGAGAAGTATGGCATCATACACAATACTGATGATATATATAGAGGGAATGAGATAGCTATCCTCTACGACCCTGGGAACTTCCCGGCGTTGATCAAGAACTCGTCCACGGGAGAAATTAAGTATAGGAATGGTGGGGTGCCTCAAGAAGGAGATCTTATGGATCATCTGCAGAACTTTAAGAAAGAGATGGATAAGAGTATACCTAATGAAGACTTTAGCGGTAATTATGTTTTTGTTAATTATAAATTTAATTTTTAACAAATTAACGATATGAACTAAATATTAAGGTAACAACTGACAGGCTGAGCCTAAACTGGGCACGCCGTCATCGCGGCGGTAAGACCCGTTATGGAGGATTGGCTCGAGAGGCGTCACGGGACCCTCTCATACCGATTGACGCAGGTGATCACTGGGAAGGGATGTTTCGGGGATCACCTGTGTCTGATCCGCAAGGAGCCAACGCCTGAGTGCCACCACTGCGATGGCCAGACCGTGGACACGGTTCTCCACACGCTGGCAGAGTGCCCGGCGTGGGTTGAGCAGAGGCGAGACCTCGTGGCGGCCATCGGAGTGGGAGTTCTCTCGCTCGATAGCCTGATTGCGGCTATCGTGCGGAGCGAAAGTGCGTGGAACTCTGCCGTCTCCTTCTGCGAGCAAGTTATGCTCGCGAAGGAGACGGCGGAGCGGGACCGGGAGAGGTTTAGAACTCTCCCGGCCCGCCAGGCCCGGGCACGGGCCAGGCACCGCAGGCGACTCATTCGCCGGAGGTCGCAGAACGACCTCCGTCCTCCATAAGCGCAGGCCTGGGGGTGACAGGTGAGGCCATCTGTCACCCTAGCAGAAGCAGGCCGGGGTGGCGGCGAGCGCGTTGCGAAGCGCGCTCGCTTCCAGGGAGCACAGGGGACATGGGGTTCCCACACGGGGGGGGGGGTCGTCTACGCGTCTGTAGATGACCCGAGGTATGTCGGGGCACCAGGGACTTCTTTTCTAGGGTATACCTGGTTCCCCGGCTATTAGTACCCGAGACGGCGTGCGGTTTTAGTCGGTTCGAGTCCGACATGCCACCGACAGGTGGTATCCGAGGGGATTTCCGCACGGAAAAAAAAAAAAAAGGCTGATCCTAAACTATGCTTTGCAAGACTGTTAATAAACAGAAAACTTATATATTTTACTGCACGGATGGCGTAGTGGTTTAAGTGGTCACCTCGCCGCTTCCTATTGCACTGAGTGTTGTGGGTCCGATCCCCACATGGGACATCACTTTGTGTGATCCACAAATTTCTGTTCTGGGTCTGGGTGTTCTTTGTACCCGTGTAATGTATGTTTGTAAAGTCTCCCGCGATACAGGATATATGCCTAGTGCGGGAGTTGTCTTTTAAAAAAGCAAAAGCCAAAAAGCAAATTTCTAAATACACACATATTATAGATTAACTACACACAGTCACAGAACAAGTGATCGTCCTAATCATAAGGTATTTGTTCTGGGTGGGAATCGAACCATCGGCTTAGCTGTGAGGGTCGCTAGCCACTAAACCAGCAGGCCCCTAAAGTAATGGCCTGGTATGTAATAGTGATGGCAATCATTGATACTTTTAAATCATAATCATATCTTGAAAGGATTGGTTTTAGTCACTGCGATATCACCTGTGATAAAACACATCTGGAATTTGGTCATATACAAAGATAAATGCCATCAAACATTTAAGCGAAGAACAAACCAAACTTTTTATCAAAGAACTTTTTTTACATTTAGACCATTAGCGAGTCTGGCGCTGGCGTAATTATAAGTCGCAGTGGTTTTGTAAATTAGCATCAGGTATGATTATCACGTCAACAGCCTTTAATAGTCCACTGCTGGACATTAGGCTTCTCCTTAGAAAGGAGGTTATACCTCGCTGGCCAGAAGGGTTAGTACAGGGTTTTTGTCTAGTTTTCCTTCTCTTTGCAGTGCTGTTGTCCTGCATAGTTTTCTCCCATAGTCGGCTCTTACGACCCCCTCGGGATGAGTAGGGGGGGTGACATTCCTTATTCTTAATCCGTCACCACACGGATATAACCTTATATAAGAGGTGATTGTGATTTTATTCCATTCCTAGTATGCGGCAGTCAGAGCAAGCCACGGGCCTATGGTAATCATTATACTAATTAGTAACTATTACATCATTCCTGTATTTCACACTTTGTAGTTAATTATAAGTCATTACCGTTTCTATTATCTTCAGTGTGAGTTCATAACCACAAATGAGACGTATATTGTTATTTGTGAGTTTATTAATTTACCCGCTCTTCGATCAAAAACAACATTGATACTTTCCCTAACAAAATTTATGTCAAACTAGCTGGTAACTGCGACTTTGAAAAGCGATGCCTTAGTGGTGTAGTACGGTACGCGACTGCAGTCCACGAGGCCTCGGGTTCGATTCCCGGACCGAGCAAAATTTTATAGTGTTTTTCTGAGAAGAACAGTAGTCTAAGTTACTCCTTATATAGACAGTAAAATATCAGCGAAATCGGTCCAGTCGTTTTGAAGAAACCGAAACAAACAAACAGACAAAAAATATTTAAACTGGTTTTTAGGCATAGGCATCGTGCAAATAACCGTGTGAGCATGAAAAACCTATTGTTTTGTCATTGCAACCAGACACTTTTTTTTATTTGTATTGATAATGACACCAGATAATATTCTATACTATACGTGTAAGTATTTAAGAAGCTGTCCTTATAATAAACCAGTCAATACAATGTACAGACACCCATCGACACAAATGCGATGCTGCCTTTTGTGTGCCCTCTCTGACCAAATTAGGGGGAAGATCACTTTGATTCAGCCGGCCGTTGTATTCTAAAGCATTGTTCTCCCACGATTCAAGTACAGGCACCCTGAATGTATGTATAAGCTTTTATAGTTTACTAGGTTTTGCCTGTGGCTCCGCCCGCGTGTATGTTATTGCGATAAAATGTACCCTATACCCTTTCTCAGCAATCAAACCAACTCCATACCAAATTTCATCCAGGTAAATCGGTTTAGCAGTTATTGATTCCCCGTACAAACTTTCACGACCTTTCCACCGGTAAACCGTGATTTATTTTTACTAAAACATGGAGGAATAATCACTTTTATTAGTCATATAAGGAATAATCGAATCATTTAGCCAATTTATCCTTATTACCGTCGTAACCAACATCCACAAAATCTTATATAATAATTGCTTTGCTTAAATATTAATATTTTGTGGCACTAATAATATAACCGACTACTTTCAAACTTTATAACCTAATAAGGTACTTTAGAAGTATGCGTTTATCGCAGCTACATCCGCATCCGCAGATTTTTGAAAGTTCGAGTGCCAGAGATTAGGACAATCAAAGAAATAAGCCAGTTTTATCTATTTCTACTTAGGGTTCCGTACCTCAAAAGGTAAAAAAGGAACCCTTATAAGATCACTTTCTTGTCCGTCCATGTGTCACCGCCGATTTCCTCAGGAACGGGTAGACCTAGCAAGTTGAAATTTATACCAGCTACTGAGGTCTATGGTCCCTATTAGGTGTATAAAAATCAAGGTCCTGAGTCAACACGATAAAAAGATATGAGCAAATTTCGATTTTCAACTACCAACATTTTCAACTTTTTTATTTTTCAGAATTTTCTCTTTACTTGTACTATAAGCCTTCCTTTTAACCAAAATTGTCAATTCTAGGTCAACCGGAAGTACCCTATAGGTTTTGGGTCGAAAACCTATATGATAGTGCCCGTTGCCCTAGAATCACGAAATTTGGCAAAAAGAAACGTCTTACAGCACAAATAAAGGAATAATTCCAAAAAATAAAAAAAGTTAAAAATTGAGATAAATTTTATTACTTACAAATTTTCGCGAAAATCTACGTAAAATCAAGGTAGGTACGGAACCCTCGGCGCACGAGTTCGACTCGGTTACCCTTACCGGTTTTTTTTATTTTAATATTTCTTCTATAAGTCCCATCACAATCGTAACTGTATATATGTATATATGTATATATAATAATATGAAACATTTTAACAGAATTTAGCTGCTGCTGCTAGCTGATATTGATTTTGATCAATAAGGCAAACGGTCCTAAGGTATAACACAACTCTTGGATGGTAAACAGGACTTAGACTATAGTAATTCGAATTGGACGTGGTCACCCATCCGTATGTCCGAACGTCGGTCTGTAATTGTAGTCCTCCAGTACAAGGACACCAATTGGAAAACGTAATTAGAACACAAAATTTTATAGGCATGAAATGAAATAAAAGGAAAGCGTGCATTGTGATAAATAAATGACCAAAACAGGAAGCAATAAAGGAAATAATAAAGAAACTTAGAATTCTTTTGACACACGGAAGAAGGCGTTTCCGTTACAAACAGCAGTATCCAATACGTAATATTTTACGCGGGCGACCCTCCTATAGTTATGGTCTGGCAACACGCTCAGTCATGTCTGCAGTATTAAAAGAAATTTGTGTATAAAAGATGGAATGCAGTGAAGTGAAGTACACGGCTATACGTGCAAGCTTATGAAAAAACAAAGTTGTGCAATCCTCAATGTATTTTGAAAGCTTCTCGTGGTCATTTTTAAAGCGATGAAAGCTCAAATAAATTTAAAGACTCAAAACAAACAAAGCAAACACGACAAGCTTTTGAACTTGAGCGAGCTACCGCACGATATTACCTGCAAGTTTTGAGCACCAATGAATTAACACGAATTATTATTGATTAATTATAATAACACATAGACTGCAAATTTAGTAGTTGACTGCACGGATGGCGTAGTGGTTTAAGCGGTCACCTCGCCGTTTTCTACTGCGCTGAGTGTTGTGGGTTCGATCCCCACAGGGAACAACACCTTGTGTGATCCACAAGTTGTTCTTTGTGTTCGTTTCATGCATGTTTGTAAAGTCCCCCGCGACACAGGAATATAATCTTAATGCGGATGTTGTATTTAAAAATTAAAAAAAAGTAGTTCATTCTGAAAACCACCAGTGATGCCTTAGTACTTTCCAGTGTTACTGAGTATTACGTTTTTGATTCTCATCAGTACCAGTAAAGTACGAATTGAGCCTGGACGTACTATAATGAAGCCTGATTTTTGTTAGGAAGTGCTGAACGTTCTCCTGCCGACGTGAACGTGGGCATTGTTGGCGCACTTAAAATTGGGTGAGACAATTTGAAATGCAAAAGTAAATGTAAGTCGAAGATAGCGACATGTTCTGGGCTTGCTCTATTATAGAAAGTGGCTGAGTTTTTCTAACAAGTTTGATTAGGGATTAAGAGTACTTAAGGGTCCGTGTGGTGACGGATTAAGAATACAGAGTGTCACCACCCCTATTCATCCCGTGGGTGTTGTAAGAGCCGACTAAGGGAGCAAACTACATAGAACAACAGCACTGCAGAGAGAAAGAAAACTTGACACAAACCCTCTACCAACCCACCTGGCCAGCGTGGTATAGTAGGCCAAAACCTCCTTTCTAAGGAGAGGCTTATGTCAAGTAGTGGACTAGTAAAGACGGTTGATGAAGAGACAAACAAAGAGATCGTATAAAATAAAATAAAGGTATAGTAATGATGGTAAATTGATCAGTAAGAGTATTTCACGGTACTGAGTCATCACTAGCTTATCACCGTCCACTGCTGTACGAAGGCCTTCCCCAAGGAGCGCCAATTATCCTTGTCTTAGGCCGTCTGCATCCATCCGTACTACCGTAGACTGTACTAGTAGTGAGTTTATCATCATCATCATCATCATCAACAGCCTTTAACAGTCCCCTGCTGGACATAGGCCTCTCCTTAGAAAGAAGGTTTTGGCCTACTGGGTGAGTTAAGATTTAACAAAACGTGTTTCATTGTAATCATTTATTTTTATTACATTCCATATGTCTCTGTCAGTAAGTATTTTTGTACAAGTATTTTTGACAGTAAGAATTCGATTTGAAAGACACGTATATCATAAAATTTGTACTTAAAGTGCGGGCAGGAAGGTACTTAAAACTGTACATAACTAATCGATTGATAATTATCACACGTTTATCGTTAAATCATGACCATTTTTATCTTAATTACTTTTAAATAAACTCGGTTTAGAAAGCCGTGATAATAGACAGTATATGTAAACAACATACTAGGTAGTTAGCGTCGCTTAGCATCGCTCGAGGAAAGTTTGACATGACATTAAAGCAAAATCTTCAAAATATACGTATGTATGTCACAGAACTTTCATTTAAAATGTATGTCTATGTATTCCTTCTTCCTCAAAGGCCGTCAACGTGCTTGTGACTCCTGAGTTGAAGGCGTTCGTGGGCGGCGGTGGTCGCAGGTGACCCATCGGCTCATTTACCCCCTCTTTAATAAATAAATAGAAATAATGGCTACCTCATCATCATCAACAGCCTATACTAGTCCACTGCTGGACATAGGCCTCTCCTTAGAAAGGAGGTTTTGGCCTACTATACCACGCTGGACAGACGGTTTGGTATAGGGTTTGTTTCAAGTTTTCCTTCTCTTTGCAGTGCTGTTGTCCTGCTTAGTTTGCTCCCTTAGTCGGCTCTTACGACACCCACGGGATGAATGGGGCTGGTGACAATTTGTATTCTTAATCCGTCACCACACGGACTACCTATTAAGTCTAATTTTACTCTTTTAAATTGACATTGAAATTGACTGACAGGTTAATAACAAGTACCATTTCGGAACTAAAAACTGTGATACCATCCAATTTGTTTCTTAATGGTAGTTGCATCCAGAAAGGATTAACATTTATTTATTTATTTAGTGATCTTATAAGGAACCCTTATAAGATAACTTTCTTGTCCGTCCGTGTGTCACATCCGATTTCCTCAGGAACGGTTAGACCTAGCAAGTTGAAATTTAAGATGATAAGATGATGGATGTATAAGGGTTCCTTATACATCTTTATTGTACACCGCTACAGTATATATTGTACAGACATGGATGGACATCTACATGTGGTATTACAATAAATAATAATAATAATAACATATCTCACACAGCCGTCTGATCCCAAACTAGGCTGGGCCTGTACTATGGTAACCAGACTGTTGATAAACATACTTATATATTTTTAAATAGATACATATTATAGATAAATTACACACAGAACAAATGACCGTACTCATCACACAATGTTTGTCCTGGGAATCGAACCCACGAACTCCGGTTTAGCAGTCAGGGTCTCCAACCACTAAACCAACAGGCCTGTCAAATAGCGGTCTTATCGCTCACCGCGATCTCTTACAGACAACCTTTATACGGATTATATTTAATCTGATTTAGTATAGTCTATAGTGTACTTCATAACACTTTAGATAATTAATATACATATATAAAAGTAAACATACTTGACGACCGGATGACGTAGTGGTTTGTGTAACGGACTGCTATTCCAAAGGTCGCGGGTTCGATTCCCGCTCAAGTCAAACATTTGTGTGCATGAAACTTTGATGTTTGACTTGGTCTGGGTGTTTCTATGTATTTACAAAAAAAAAGTATATATGTATTTATATCAGTTGTCTTGTATCCATAGTACAAGCTCTGCTTAGTTTGGGACTAGATGGCGTTGTGTGTATGTGGTAGAATATTATATTATTATATTATACTAAATACGCTTACAATATACATACTACTAACACATATAAATATATATATACAAAAGTTTTAAAGGTTAATACACAAATCGTTTTTAACCTGTGACGTACCAAGTATTAACAAACAATCAATATCCCTTCAACAGCCCTTACAATGTCAAGTAGTAAGTAACGACCGGATGGCGTAGTGGTTTGTGTAACGGACTGCTATTCCAAAGGTCGCGGGTTCGATTCCCGCTCAAGTCAAACATTTGTGTGCATGAACATTTAATGTTTGACTTGGTCTGGGTGTTTCTATGTATAATATGTATGTATTTACAAAAAAAAAAGTATATATGTATTTATATCAGTTGTCTAGTACCCATAGTACAAGCTCTGCTTAGTTTGGGACTAGATGGCGTTGTGTGTATGTGGTAGAATATTATATTATACTAAATACGCTTCAACAGCCCTTACAATGTCAAGTAGTAAGTAACGACCGGATGGCGTAGTGGTTTGTGTAACGGACTGCTATTCCAAAGGTCGCGGGTTCGATTCCCGCTCAAGTCAAACATTTGTGTGCATGAACATTTAATGTTTGATTTGGTCTGGGTGTTTCTATGTATAATATGTATGTATTTACAAAAAAAAAGTAAATATGTATTTATATCAGTTGTCTAGTACCCATAGTACAAGCTCTGCTTAGTTTGGGACTAGATGGCGTTGTGTGTATGTGGTAGAATATTATATTATACTAAATACGCTTCAACAGCCCTTACAATGTCAAGTAGTAAGTAACGACCGGATGGCGTAGTGGTTTGTGTAACGGACTGCTATTCCAAAGGTCGCGGGTTCGATTCCCGCTCAAGTCAAACATTTGTGTGCATGAACATTTAATGTTTGATTTGGTCTGGGTGTTTCTATGTATAATATGTATGTATTTACAAAAAAAAAAGTAAATATGTATTTATATCAGTTGTCTAGTACCCATAGTACAAGCTCTGCTTAGTTTGGGACTAGATGGCGTTGTGTGTATGTGGTAGAATATTATATTATACTAAATACGCTTCAACAGCCCTTACAATGTCAAGTAGTAAGTAACGACCGGATGGCGTAGTGGTTTGTGTAACGGACTGCTATTCCAGAGGTTGCGAATTCGATTCCCGCCCAAGTCAAACATTTGTGTGCATTAACATTTAATGTTTGATTTGGTCTGGGTGTTTCAAAAAAAATAATAATTGTGATTTGTTTTTGAATAATTGCAACGATTTAGCTTTTCAAATTGCCTCGGGTAAGTTGTCCCAAAGTCTAACTGCTTGTACCGATTCTTCACTAAATTGTGTGGTATGTTTGGGCACTTTCAACTTCTCTGATGATCTGAGAAGCCTGCGTTTAATATTATTTATATTAATATTTCTTATTTATGGTATAAAAGACAAACCAGCAGATGGATCTGATGTACCTGATGGTAAGTGACTACCGACGTCTATGAACACCTGCAACTTAAGAGTTACATGTTACCACGTGTTGACTGCACGGATGGCGTAGTGGTTTAAGCGATCGCCACGCCGCTTCCTACTGCGCTGAGTATTGTGGGCTCGATCGCCACATGAAACAACACTTCGTGTGATCCACAAATTGTTGTTCTAAGTCTGGGTGTTCTTTGTGTCCGTTTCATATATGTTTGTAAAGTCCCCCGCGACACGAGATGTATGCCTAACGCGTGAGTTGTTTTTTACCGAAAAAGAAGAAAAAGGAAACCGTCTTTAAATGACCTCAGAATTAGAGGAGATGGGATAGGGGACTCCGGGAAACACGCTCACTTGATGAAATGTGTTTTAATTTATGCCGAAGGTATCGGTTCGGTATCCGCTTTTTTTTATACTCTTCTCTTCTTGTGAATTAAATATGGTAGAATAATATTACTCTTTTTAAATTTCAGGAGTAGGAATAATAGATTTCGAGTCTTGGAGGCCTATACTTCGCCAGAACTTCGGCAGTCTGACCCCTTATAAGGACGTATCCTATGACATAGAGAAGAAGAGACATTGGTGGTGGAATAAACAGCGGATAGAAAACGAGGTACTTAATAAAACATGCTATTTGTCTAGCAATACTGATTGCTAAGCAATAGGTCGTGGGTTCGATTCCCACCTAGAACGAATAACTGTATGATGATTATGATCATTTGTTCTGAGTCTGGGTTTTATTAATCTAGAATACTAGCTTTTGCCAGCGGCTCCGCCTGAGTCTATGTCGGTTATCGCGGTAAAAAGTAGCTTTCAGTGAGATAATTTTTTAGAATCGGTTTAGTGGTTTAATCCCCCGGACTCCCTACAAATACAATATGTACAAAATATAATTTCGTGTGAGTACAGAAGACAATGCAATCTGTTTTCTTAACTTTTTTGAGTCATTGATTTAGAAACGTACGATCGCTGTTCCTTGTTATTACTTTGTTTATTTTTGGAACGAAGTTCCTTATCGCGCGTTGTGAAAGGGGGCTAGACGGAAAAAATTCTTACGAAAATTGGTCACGACACTTTTTATTTCGAATTGTCACTTGTCAGTCATTCAGCGCCATCTATCGAATAGTAAAATTAAAATTTATGTTCTTAGGTTGAGCAAAAAATATTGTATTCGACATCATTTCTCAAGGAGATTTTACCAATGTATAAATTGTTTTAATAAGAAACCAACTGAAAAATATGTGGGTAATAGCCGCTTTCATAGATGGCGTTGTAATTAAAATCGTGTCTAATCAGTTTTACTCGATCGTAACAACTTCGTTCCTATCGGGTGTCCCACGACACCACACGGCTTTTTTATATTATGCTCACGATCTGCACTGTAACGTTCTTAAGTATTAATAAAGTTCTTTAAACCTAAATCGTAACAAACAAAACTTACTTTCACATTTATAATACCATTGTAAGTATGGATTTCTCAGACTTCTGATTACCATAACACAGGCACTGCCTTGTTTGTAATCAGATGGCCGTACTCAATACACAACAGCCCTAATTAGTCCACTGCGTGACATAAACCTCTCCTTAGAAAGGAGGTTTTGGCCGACTATACCACGCTGGCCAGACAGGTTGGTATAGGGTTTGTGTCAAGTTTTCCTTCTTTTTGCAGTGCTCTTGTCCTGCGTAGTTTGCACCCTTAGACCCACGAGTCCCACGGGTTGAATAGGGGTGGCGACACTCTGTATTCTTAATCCGTCACTACACGGAAGAACTTTAAATAACTTAAATGTTATTGATGTTAAGATACAGTTTAGAATCTAAGTTAATAGAAATACGTTCCTCCAACTACACGCTTGGTACATTTCATTTAATAATATATAACCCATTACTAAATCGTTTAAACAGTCATGTTTTATCTCATGAATGCTTCGTTGCGTAACTATGCTGTACTTGTAATTAGGGCAGCTTTTAGAATAAATGAACTCACAGGATAACGAGACTTTAAACTCTATGGATGTAATTATAAAGAACATAATACCACGATAAGTTAGGCGATAGCTTAAAGTAAATTTTTATCTACAAAATTATGTGAAAGTCCTTCAGACAGTGCCATAAGTCAATAAAATTATGCAAATACGAGTATTTTAAGTTTTGTTATATTTTTTTAAATATATTATTCCATCCAGATATGCTTTACTTAAATTTAACGGTAGGCAAGAACTTTTATAATCATGTAGGTGCAAATCTATCGAGAATAATTTCTTTTCAAACTAGGTTTTTTATTTGTCATGAATTTTTATTTTATTTATTGCCATATTAAAGAATTGTGAAACTAAATATAGTCAATACTGTCTGTAGTATTAAGGCCCCATTATTCATGAGGGGGGAGGAGAGGGCTACAGAATTAGAAGGCTGGAGGGAATTGGACCGCCGGTATTCACTCGATAAATGTGACGAAAGATCGGATCGGTCTGGAAATATCACAGGAGGGAATTTCTTCCACAGACTGTTGTAATGAAATTAGGAGTCTGAGTCATTAAACGATGGCGGAAACCTACCGGTATGAGCCCGATCAATCTTATATATAAAATTCTCGTGTCACAATGTTCGTTCCCGTACTCCTCCGAAACGGCTTGACCGATTCTCATGAAATTTTGTGTGCACATCGGGTAGGTCTGAGAATCGGCCAACATCTATTTTTCATACCCCTAAATGGTAAGGGTGACCCATCCCTAATTTTTTTTTGTTTTGCAATACAAGGTTTGCCGGGTCAGCTAGTAATGTTATAAGCATATCGTATGTGCATATCATAAAACCGCATTCTGTACTTAATATGGACTTTGTGTGGCTTTTTTATAAGCAATAGGCGTTATATTGTATTGGTGACTACGTGGCGCTGTGGTCGACCATTCAACTTTAACATCCCGGGTCGCGAGCTTAAACATATTTATATACGTTTGTTGCTTATAATAACTGTTAAACTTTATACAATTAGTTTTAATTAAAACGTATTTACAGGAAAAAAATGTACACACATGGGCCGGCTAAGAAACCCGTGTTATGCAATTGTTTTTCGTTACCCCTTCAGTACGGGGCACTTAAAGTTCTAATCCTCCTTTCAAATTTCATATCCTTGACTAATCACCAACACAGTTATGGAATATTACATGACAATATAGGAGAAGATAATTAAATATGCCACCTAAATAGCATTCATTATCAGCGTCTGAATGACAACTCACTAAGTATGCAAGCGTTCGACTAATTTTGCTCTTAGTTTGGACCACATCTAGTGCAAGAGTTAGCCAAGTTTAGCCTTGTAAGCTATTCAAAACTATAATATATCTCTGTGCCAAATTTAATTTAGATCATTTCAATCTTTCTGACTTGATTGATTACCAAATATCTATAAAACAGACTTTCACGTATATAATACTAGCTGACCCTGCAAACGTTGTTTTGCTATTTACATTATTTAAAAAAAAAAAATTTGAATTTCGTGAAATCCGTTCTTAGCTGAGCTCTACTCGGCGAAAAGAATATTCCTACCAAATTTCAAGTCTTTAGCTCTAATGGTTCCAGAGATATCGTGATGAGTGACTATATACGTGGAAATCTCTTATATAGATTAATACGATTAAATAATATTATTGTGTTGTAGCTAGCCGTGGGCGGCAGTAGTCATATACCAGCAAGTATACCCATCGGCTCGTTTTATCATCAACAGCTTCTCCTAGTCCACTGCTGGACATAGTCCTTTCCTTAGAAATAGGCGCCATTGTCCTCTATTATATACACCCCACTTTCTAGACCAAACCAAACATAGATTACACTAGGTATGTGTTTTAGAGCACGAATAAACATATGCTTTCAGAAAATCTGATGTTCTGACCTGACCAATCACTGACCTGACGTGGCACTCGATTTCTTGCCATCAGGCACCCTTCTAAAACCATTACGAGAATGTCTAAACTGTTCTAACTTTTTCTCAACACTCCTTAATAAACATTTTCCAGGCGAAACGTCGCTTTAATGCAGCTGGTCGTGACTTTATGCATGCCACAATATCTTTGGCCAAAAAGATGCGCCCCAAAGCACGATGGGGCTATTACGGATATCCTCAGTGCTTCAACCGGCCTTATAATAGCCATCCAGAAGAATGCGCTGAAGATATACCGGGAGAGAATAACAGGTAAATTCCTCCTAAGAAATGCTTCTTTGTTTTCTATGATAAAAGAGTCCACATCTTAGAGGAAAATTATTAGCTTTTCTTTTATGGTATAAGGGTCCAACGAGCAGATGGGTCTCCTGATGAGTAGCCTGATGAGTAACCTTTTAACTTTCTATGCAGAAAGAATAGTTATAGAAAATTTTGGATAGTATCAACACCTTTAATGTTGATCATTCAAAAAATATTTCCTTTAAGCTGATCGATTAATTTTTAAATTTAAATTTTTGAAATTTTGCTCATAACTCGTAGCGCTGATAGTCTTAAATGCAATATCTTACAGAAGGATATATGGAGCTGAGGTAAACAATTCGGCTGCATCTTAAGATACCACGACATCGATTCCCATTTAATACAACGAATTTTATAAGAAGTCCATTCATCTAATGATATTTTTATGAGCTTAGTTTCTTTAATATAATTACATAGTAAAACACCTTTGAATGTTGATATATGTTCTTAAATGTACACGGTGAACTAGAAGGGTTTGGGAGAGTCTGATCTGGGGTCGGGGTCTGATGTTCAATTCAATAAGGAGTACTTCTATCTTCAAATACCTTGCACTTTCAGGATACCCTGGCTCTGGGAAGACAGTACAGCCCTCTTCCCATCCGTGTACTGCGCAGATGATGTGACAGGAAATAGACTCGCAGCATTTATCAAAGGCAGAATCAAGGAGTCCGAGCGAGTAAGAGTAAAACCAAGTACTCCAATCCTGCCGTACTGGTGGTTCCGATATAGAGATGGCGGGTACTTTAAAGAGGTAAGCAGATATACGGCGCGATATGCAACGACCCTGGGACGATCTGAAACTAGTCTATCATGCAGGATTACACATTATATGATGTACAGTCATCAGAATTTTCTCCACCACCTCTTACTCCCTTTCTAACCGTATTCTCTTTTACGCCGTTCAGCCATATTTTCTTTGGTCTTCCTCTACTCTTGTATCCGTCAACTTTTACTCAAAAATTTTCTTCACGTCGGTCACCTCTCTGCATCAAATTTCCATACCAATTTGAATTATAAATAACAAAAATGGCATAAAATGGTCTAAAAGTCTAACGATCGTTAAAAGTCGTCATAATAACCATGATTTCATCCTCTCAGCCTTTTTTTCCAAACTAAGTTAGGGTCGGCATTAAGTCTACTGCGATATAAGAAGCTGACCTGCTTATGGTATTATATCCTCAAACCATCCAAAAATGCAAAATCCCTTTCGTACGATTGCCATCCTATATTATCTACCTGTCCCTTCAATTATACTCCCATTTTTTTCACTCAATCTCCAAATTGCCCAGCTCTCGGCAATGGGCTTGTCTCCTATTAAATACGTGGGTCTATAATTTATAGGGAGATGTGGATTTTTTAATAAGCCTCTGCCTACTTTGGGGGATGTAGTTGTTAAGAGTGTATGTATGTCTGTTAAAACTTCCTAAACTCTTTCTAAATATTTTAGCAAGACCTAGAAACAACCTTCAGCACATTTCACAATTCCAAAGCCTCAGGATTTATAATCTGGGGAAGTTCTAAAGATGTTAACACCAAAATAAAATGCACGGAATTAAAAAAATACTTAACTGATATATTGGGCCCTGCTGTTGCCAAATACACTAAAGTTACAAGGAGAATCAATGATGAGCCAGCTGACGGTGCTCAAGTAATATTTAAACCTGAAGCTGTGACTGAATTTGACCCTGATTATCATTGGGAACCACCAGTAAATTACAGTTCTAATATTGAACACATAGTTGAAGGAGAACTGAAGACTAAAAAAGAGGATGAACCTACTGCAGATGGAAATGTTCTAATAGATATTATACTGAACAGAATAGCTAATTTCTGCTTAACTAATTGTGATAGTAAAAATGAAGTGAAATTGGACTCTACGACCGTATTGACGACAAAGGACCCATTTGCGGCAACAACTCCTAAGATTACTACCACAGGTAAATTTTAATTTAAAATCTGAATAAAAATATTTTTTTGGATTCTATTCTCAAAGTGTATCAAAGATACCCTATTACTAAGTCTCCTCTCTTTATCCGTCTGTTTATCGGCAGGCTGTTTAATGAATCAGTAGTAATAGGAAGAGAGTTGAATTTAGAAAATATTTCTTTTGCTGTTATTACAAGACTTTTGTCCGTATGGTGACGGATTAAGAATACGGAACGTCATCACCCCTATTCTTCCCGTGGGTGTCGTAAGATGCGACTAAGGGAACAAACTACGCAGGACAACAGCACTGCAAAGAGAAGGAAAACTTGAAACAAACCCTATACCAACCCGTCTGGCCAGCGTGGTATAGTAGACTAAACACTCCTTTCTAAGGAGCGGCCCATGTCCAGCAGTGGACTAGTAATGGCTGTCGATGATGACAAGACTAATAAAAATTAAACTTCAAAGGCTAAATACACAAGAAAGGTGACATAATCGTTATATATTCTTTAAGGATATGGAATTCTACGTGTGCAAGCCCAATGCGCTCTTATCCTTTTTCACAACAGAAAAACTAAATACTAAATTTAACCATAGACTTGTTGAGTACTAACTTTTTTGTTTTTTTAATTTTTAATTATGTTTTTTTTTTATTTCAATTTGACACATTTTTATATTTCAGTTCGACCTGTGGAGGCAATGACAACAGAGTACAGTAATACAGGAACGACAGTAAATCATGAAACTGTTCTATATGATTACTTAGACACCAGTAGTTTACCTTCTACCACAAGTGTGGGAGCAGAATCAAAAGAATTTACCACAATAGGTATTTATGTAGAAGATGACGATACTTCTGAATTCAATACTAGTCTGAACAATATCGAAATAAATACAGAAGACTTTAGAGAAATAGAAAGAACACAACAAAGTACAGAAACTATTTCAAGGTTAGAAGATAACAATGCAATTAATTTTGTTAATAATACTAGTAGTTTTAATGAAACTAGAGATGAAAAGAAAAATAGTACAATAAATGCTAAAGAAATTGATTTAACAGTCACAAAATACAATTTTAATACAACCACTACTATTATACCAAAGTTATATAAAATTAATAATAATAATTTAGTTAATTTTAGTTCAACATTCACTAATGCACCAAATTTTAGTTCAAATGACACTAGTGTTGAATATTTTAGTCCAGAGAGTAGAACTAATTTGAGTGATACTCGTCCATCAAATTTACATATTACTACTACACCTGCATCAAGACCAGATCCTATCAATTGGAGGAAATTTTATGTTGATTTACTGAACTTACCAAATCTGGTAAAGAAAGAATTTGGGACGACAAATGAGAATGAAGTTGAGACGACAGCTGCGCCAGAGCTGGTAGAACAGGTTGTTGTTTCTGTTGTTTAATGATTGTTGTTACGTTGATGTTGTTTCAACTAAAGTATTTTAGAACAACTGTCGATAAGGTAAAAAATATTTTAAAGTGTGAGAACCAAGCCAAGGTGATCACTTACCATCACTGACCCGTCTGCTTATATGCCCATTATATACACCATAAAAAAGTTTTTTTTTTTTTTTTTTTTTTTTTTTTTTTTTTTTTTTTTTTTTTTTATGGTTGTCGACCGTTGTTCTAAGCAATACACACGCAGTTTGGATCTTGATTTGATAAATAATTAATTAATATTACCTAATTGTGTTTGAGCAAGTCAGCTACCATTGTGCAAGCTTTTAATTAATAATTATTTATTTACATTCTACGCATTTAATTTGTACTTACCTTAATTTTATTGATTTAATTTATGTTAAATTAATGATTAATAATCAACCGTGTTGTGCAGTAACGAACAATTCACAAACTGGTCAAGTTAATGTAATTTATAAGTCATCTGTATTTATATTTAAAAAAGTTATTTACGTAGTTGTCTTGGAAAAAGGATTTCTTTTCTATAAGTTCAAAATGACTTACTAACAGAACCGCTGACACTACAAACTTGTTATTTTGGCAGCTATAGCCCCAGCGGCTGAGGCTCTACGTTAATGAATCAGTGAATCAGGGGAAGTAATTTTATATGTATAGATGATTAGAAAATTATGACCATTATGACCATATGACACTTTAATAATGACCATTTCGTGGACAGGCTCGTCACTGCAAAACCCGGTTTATTTACAAAGCACTGTATTAATTTGCATAATTGTTTACCATTGTATTAATTAGCACAGTATTTACAGCATGAATTGTTATATTATTAATAGCAACATTCAATGCTTTATTTTAATAAGTATTTTTTTTATTTAAGCCATATTAATGTACAATGAATATTGACTAAAGTTCAAAATGAAATCTACCTTGTAACCTTTCGTTGTACGTACCGTTGTTTCTCAAGGATCAATTTCTGGCCGACAAAACTGACTGAACACCGGCCAGTGGGCAGGGAACAGTCAAAGGTTAGTTTTTCCATGTATCTCTGCAAGTTTGCCGTGGGAGAACCATGCTTCGGCTCATACAGGCTTGTCCACCGGAGTCATACCATGGCCTTACAGAATACTGGTATTTAGCAATACCTTTGTTGATTTCCACCAATTGAGTGAAGTTACCTGACGACCCCTCTAAATTCTGTGGGGTAGGGAAACTAAATGAATATTTAAATTGAAGATTTTTTTTTCTATTATTTGTCCATTAATTATTTAATTTCATTCGTTATCAGTTGCATGTGACATTTATTATTGATCCTTTGTTTATTTTTTGTTAAACCCTGGAATGCCAAGTTTGAATTGGTCTAAACCTGTTTGTTCAAAAAGCAGTTCTGTTACAATCTATGTAAGTACTTCATCTATTTCTTTGTCTTTAAACAGCATGTAAGTGTTAATTTATTTCCAAATGAAATAAACCAAAACTAAAATCTCCAAAGTACGTTATACCGGCAATGTATTTATGAATCCTGAGTTGTAGGTGATCATGGGCGGGAGTAATCACCATCAGGTGTCCCTTTTGCTCCCCAAGGCCGTTAGAAATAGCATTTTTATTGAAAACAATGAACTGACTGAATGAACCGGAAATCTAGATCTCTTGCTCTCTCTGGATCCTAATTTAGATGAAATGATAAAGTGAGTTAGATTGGATTAGACCCGAAAGATGCGTTTTCCTTAGTTAGGTAGTACATTTCGACGGGCCTGTTGGTCTAGTGGTTAGTGACCCTGACTGCTAAGCCGGAGGTCGTGGGTTCGATTCCCACCCAGGACAAATATTGTGTGATGAGCACGATCATTTGTTCTGTGTCTGGGTGTTATTTATCTATAATATGTATGTATTTAAAAATATATAAGTATGTTTATCAGCAGTCTGGTTACCATAGTACAGGCTCTGCCTAGTTTGGGATCAGACTGCCGTGTGTGAGATGTGTGAAGTTATTATTATTATTATTATTAATTTAACAGTGATAAGTTTACGTAACCTACGGACGAGTATAAAAAGTCTGATGAGAGTGATAGAGACGCGATATATTGCCGTTCATCTCTGTCTTGTCCGGACTAGAATGGAGTTTATTTGTATTTTGTTCCACGGTATTCTCACAAAATGTAAATTTACTACGCGGATGGCGTAGTTTAAGCGGTTACCTCGCCGCTTCTTACTGCGCTGAGTGTTGTTAGTTCGATCCCCGCATGGGACAACACTTCGTGTTATCCACTAATTGTTGTTATGAGTCTGCTGAGTTTTCTTTGTGTCCGTGTCATATATAAGGTCTGTAAAGTTTTTAAAGAAAAATAAAAATGTTATTTAATTAACCATATCAAAGGATTTTAGTTTTGGTTTATCTCGTCTAAAAATCGCTTAAAATATTAATCGATGTTATTAACTAATGTTATTTTCTTAAACTTTATATTGTTCACTATTGTATGGATGAAAGATTTGTTGGTACGTTGATATTAGAATATAAACTATGGTATTTATAGCTCCCTGAACCGCGCACGGCTCCCTGTCCATGTGGTGACGGATTAAGAATACGGAATGTCACCACCCCTGTTAATCCCTTGGGTGTCGTAAGAGACGACTAAGGGAGCAAACTGCGCAGGACAACAATACTGCCAAGAGAAGGAAAACTTGAAACAAACCCTATACCAACCCGTCTGGCCAGCGTGGTATAGTAGGCCAAAACCTCCTTTCTAAGGAGAGGCCTATGTCCAGCAGTGGACTGTTAAATGTTGTTGATGATGATGATGATCCGCGCAACTTCGCTTTACGTCTCTCAAGAGGAATAAATCTTCCCCATTATTGTAATTGATTTCCTTTTTCATTGATTCTAGAGACTCCTATTAGTAGTAGCGTGATATTATATAAACCAAAGTCTTCTTCAATAAATGGGCTATCTAAGACTAATAAGAGTATTTCAAGACAAGCTTTAGTCCAGCGCTCTGCCCGCATCTATGTCAGATATTGCAGTAAAAGTACACTATTTTACTTATTGAGAATGTAGCTTTCCATTGCCGAAAGAATTGTATAAAGAATTTAGACGTGAAAGTGTAACATACCAACACAGAACCTCACTTTCACAGTTATAATATAAAGTATGGATGTAGTTGAAAATCCCGGGCATATCCTTCCTAATATCAACATTGAATTACAAATGTAACAAGTCTTTCATCTTGTAATTTCTATTCTTGTTAGTGATTTGAAGTATTCTTCTTTCTATAGGTGTTGGTGTCAGTTTCTGCTGCATCTCCAGCGGTTGCGTTTAACTTGTGGTTACTTTACTCTGTGTACATAAGTGGTTTTCTTAGTTTTAGCAGCTAAAATACTATTAAAACACTAATAAATCTATAGTAACGATCTTGACCGACATCTGAACTGGACAATAATACGCCACAAATTAGTATTTTATATTTGTGGCGTATTATTGCGTATTGTTTTAAAAACTTTTGAAGTACACATTTTTTTTTTTAATTATCGATGGAATTGTAACTTATTTATCACGCTAGTCAACCGTTATTAATGGTAAACATTAAATAATTAACCATGAAATCGATTGATATTATTCGAAAAATGCAAGAATTCATCACAATAGTGTTTTAGCTGTTTTTACTAATAATAACCTAAGTTTTAAATTAGGTAGTTTGTTTTATGTATTTTTTGTTTTGTTTTGTTATTAATTGTAACTATGAAATATACAAAGAACAGTTCACATGTTATGTGGCCTCTTTCCTTCTCTTCTTTTCTTCTTATCATTTCTAAGGAGAGGCCTATGACAAAATAACTAACTAAAAAACATTATTATTTATTCGTTGCACGTAATATCAAACTCCTTAAACCCTAAGGTTACCCTGACGGTATTTCATCAGGTCACTAATTTTAAAATTGGCATTGGTCGGTCGGTCTATGCTTTGTAGTTGCTGTGTTCAGTCACATTAATCGTGTAAATCAATAAAAAGAAGTAAAAAATATTTATAGAAAAAAAGATGCTAAAGTGTTTTCAAAAAAGAGACAGTATTACCTGTCCGTTTTCATTTAATTTTGCAATGGATTTATTAAAGTAGTCTTTTATTTTATTTTATTTATTCTGCCTTAAATCATTAGTTGCTAAGTCTGGAATCCCGGGCATATCTTTATTAACATCAACATACATTTTGTGATACATAAAACACGCCACCTAATTCTAAATACTGCAAAAGAATTATAATTTATCTGTGATATGTTTTATTAGATTGTAAATATTACTATAGGAAATAATTATTGTCAGTAGACATCGCCGTAATATATGTACATATTATTGTGTATATGTTGTTTGATTTCCATTACCCTGATATATAAGCAAGTTGTACCATGGGAGAACCATGACCAAATGGGCCGGCTCCACTGTGAGTGATACCATGGAGTCGCAGAAAACCAGTGTTAAGCAATTTCAACCGAGTGAATGGGGTTGAAGCCCTAACCCCGTGATTCTTAGAGGGCGGGGGGGGGGGGGGGTGGCTTAACAATCAAAGTTCTGATTTCCTAAGAAAGAGTAGTTGACCAGCTGAGTTTACCGCCAACTTGCTTTTTTCCTAAAACAGTTTAGAACAAAAGTGTAGAGTTCTTCATGTATCTACAACATCACCTCGTCACCTCGTCATTGTATACCCATGATTCGGTACAGGATGTTCGAGTTTGGAGACATGGTCTGATGATTTGAAGCGTAGAATGAACCTCAAGTAGATACTAACGTCAGGCAGTTTACTAAGTTTTGGTCTGAGGCGGTATTTTTCAGGTCATAAAATATATATATCACAACACTTTGTTAGCAGCTAATATTTTGATAGCAGAATCATTGTTAACCAAATATATGGAGGAACGGGTGTCATGTCCCTCTAATGCAAAGGGAGGATCCTCCGACCACGTGAGGTAATCATGCCTGTCTGGCCGCGGCCCTCCGGTCGATGTTGGGAAGTTTATATGCTAATCGGCGAGAGAATTCTTCACATATACAGGATTAGCAATTCTCATTCAGTAGTTACTCCGTAGTTCAGTGTACCTTCGTTAGATGGCGCTGTAGTATGTTTCTGTTTCTTTGTATGTGAGAAGACATACAAAGAATCGGTCGATATCTTGATGAGTCAGCTGTCTATGCCCTGTTGTGGAGCGTGCCAGTGCCACTAGTGAGTAGTCCCAGTGAGTCGGGACTGAATGGCGCTGTAGTATGTTTCTGTTTCTTTGTATGTGGGTGTCGTCACAAATACTTTGAAGTAAAATGACGTTGATTTAAGTATAACTAGATTTCACATCAACAGCCTTTAATAGTCCACTGCTGGACATAGGCCTCTCCTTAGAGAGGAGGTTTTGGCCTACTATACCACGCTGGCCAGACGGGTTGGTATAGGGTTTGTGTCAAGTTTTCCTTCTTTTTGCAGTGCTGGTATCCTGCGTTGTTTTGCGCCCTTAGTCGGCTCTTACGACACCCACGGGATGAATTGGGGTAGTGACATTCCGTATTCTTAATCCGTCACTACACTAACTAGATTTAAAACAAGGTTTTTGTTTAAATACGTCTTATTTGAGCAAATACTTTTGTTCGATTGTAAAACTATAACTAACTAGCTTTCCCATCGACTTCGTCCGCATGGTGTTCGACATCAGACATCGTAGAGGAGACTCTACTACCAAAAATAACGAAATTTAATATAAATGTCCAACCCCCATTTTTCACCCTTCAAGGTGGAATTTTCAAAAATCCTTTCTTAGTGATAGTAGTCACCCACACGGGGGGTCGTCTACCCGTCGTAGATGGCTCGAGGTACGTCGGGGCACCAGGGATTTCCTTTCTAGGGTACACCTGGTACTCCAACTACGGGTACCTGACACGGCGTGCGGTTTCGCGGCATCCGAGGGGATTTCCGCACAGAAAAAAAAGTAGTATTAGTAACCCAAGCAAAATTTGTGCTAAATTTCATGCTTCTAGACCCAGCAGTTGCAGCTGTGCGTTGATCGATCAGTATAGATATAGATAGATTAGGAATATACAAAAATGTTTTAAATAAACAGGATTTCTAACTATAGTCCATCAACGTCGTGCGCGACCGTCCTGCGGGGTAACAGACGGTGGCGGGGACGAGGTACTCAAGATGTCAGCGGGTAGCGGGTGGTGTAGCGGGGAAGGGAAACGCTGTAGCCGTTTGCTAGAATGACGCGCCACCTCGCCCCCGCCACTATCTGTCACCCCGCGGGACGGTCGCGCACGAGATTGCCGGGTTATAGTTTTCTTATAGACTCATTTGTAGGTTTAAGTATTGTCATTTAACAGTAGTTTCTATAACTATCTATGCTTTCTATCAGTCAATATAAAAACGCTATAATCTATGACCAAGAGTCAATTTTTGGATATTGAATTTATCGTTGTTCGCATCTTTTTAATTATTATTTTTTAATGTTTTTTTATATATTAAAGCTATGTAAACATCTAATATGAATTTAAATATATATTCCTGCGTGTATTTGGCAGCCTGCGCTGTAGTGTGTGCGGGATCAGATCAGAGGTAAGGTATTTTTCCTTTAATGGGAATGGGGCGTGAATGTATGTATCTATAAATAATACATGGATACACTGGGTGTCCGTGTGTGATTAAGAATACAGAGTATACCACCTCTATTCATTCCGGTAAGAGCCGATTAAGGAAGCCAACTACGCAGGCCAACAGCACTGCAACTGCAAAGAGAAGGAAATCGTGACACAAACTCTATACCAACCCGTCTGACTAGCGTGGATAGAACCTGCTTTCCAATGAGAGGCGTGTGTCCAGCAGTGGACTAATAAAGGCTGATTATGATGAGGTACACTAACACCCCATTCCTGTCTGGGGTAGGCTGGGACCCTGGCATAAAGCTCGAGCCTCTTCCACATTCATCAGGCCTTTCATACACGACCACAGGTTATTGAGGTCCTTCTTTAGTACTCTGCCAATCTGGGCTAATGTTTTTCTTCCGTAAGTAATTAACGTAAGTAACAAGTTTCTTTTTTTTTTTTTTTACGTGTGGAAATCCCCTCGGACCGTCACCCCGCCGGGGCTCTCGTTCGGCGGGGCGGTGTGTCGGACTCGAACCGTCTAAAACCACACGGTGTGCCCTCTTTGCGCTTCCAGTTTAGGAGGGGTCCAGGTAGTTATCGCCTTCTGGACCCCTCGAAGCGCCGGCCCGCTCCTGATTCGGGCTCCGTCTCAGTGGACCCTCTCTTTAGGCGACGTCCGAAGTTACACGTTACTTCAACCTTTTCCGGCTTTTTGAGCGAAGTCCGAAGTTAGTCCTTTTACCCTATGAGTACCATAGTACACACAGGATAAAGTATACGGTAAGCCGTTCATGATAAAAGCTGTACAGATCAAGTAAAATTTACATTTATATACATATATATCTCTGCGAAGTGTACTATAAAAGCGGGAGATACTGTTGTATCGAAAATAAATAAATTGCCTGACGCTACGACAAAGTGAAAACAGTTAAAGATAATGACTGTAGGCACACAGATAAAAAAGCCTTGGTGCCTGACTTCAGTTCCAATACAAATCGCCAAATACCAAATACCAAAATTCTAACCTTCTAAGTTATTTTGAACTGCTTCTCTCTAGTTTAAATCAAACAGTCCTGAACACGCACACCCCTAGAATGCAGTGATACAGAAATTTAAGACTCTTAACTAATAGGTATACTTTATATCTAAATATTTAAAGCACAAAGATAACACTTCGTAGTATTTCCCCTACGTACCACACAAACTAGGAAAATGCAAAAAAAGTAAACTTATTTTGCTAGCAAAAAAAAGACGGCAATTAATGAATGTTATTAATATCAGACTACCAGGCAACAAAAGAATTAACTACACGAACGCACGCGTCACATACACGCATCCACCCCCATCACTTGGGTAATTAGCACTCCACCACTGTGCGCTTTTCAAACAGCTTTTGCCTTGCACAACCAATCTTTGGAAAAAAATTGTAGCCTACAGCAATATCCAGGCCAATACGACCTCCAACCCATCAAGAAAAGAGCGTACTCCCACCTGAAAGACCTTGCTTGTGACTCTTGAGTTGCTGGCGTTGGTGAGCGTCGGTTGTCACTTCCCATCAGCAGTGCTATTCTCTAAATCAACAGCCATGCGTACAGCGCTGCCACAGCGTCGACTATTACATTACTTAGTTTGAAATTCGACTCTGTGACAGCGCTGTAGCGTCGAATTTCAAAAACAAACTTAGTTTGAAATTCGACACTGCGGCAGCGCTTAGGTTACCCCTGCTCGTTTGCTGCTTACATCTTAAAAAAACACAAGAATAAAAGTAAAAAAAATCGTTATAATAAACCTACCTTGTACTTGTTTGGTTAGAAATAAACATTTTTATTTTATTTTCTGTTACCAGTTACTATGCTGTCCAAGAAACAGACTCAGTAAAGAAAGTATTCAACGTATATTGGAACGTCCCTACGAGGGATTGTAAAAAACATGACATCCAATTTAATGATTTGTACGAAAAATATGGAATTATTCAGAACGCTGATGATATCTTCCAAGGAGAAAAGATCACAATACTGTACAATCCTGGCAATTTCCCGGGGATCGTTGAAAATGTTAATGTAAATGGAATTGTTCCTCAAGAAGGAAATCTTTTAGCTCACCTGCAGAAGTTCAAACAGGATCTAGAGGAAACCATCCCTGATAGGAATTTTCAGGGTACTCATTATTTGTTTTCTCAGTTTAGTGTCATAAAGTGTTAGTCAGCTCGAAAAACTTCTACTCCTTTGTAAATTTTGAGATTTGTAATGCGCCGCGCTTGTGTCTGTTACTCTATTCCTCACTGGTCAATTATTCACGAAAGAAAATTCATTGTTGAAATGTTCCTAAAGGAAAGAACCGTTTATTTTCTTTTATGACGGTGACCAATTGTTGTCCATGTGGCTTCTCCAATTATAGGATGGATGATCGGGTACACGATCCGAAGAAGCTAGCTCTTCTAGCTACTGCACTCTTAGACCTCTTTCCCCATCCGACTTGGGGTAAGGCATACCCCAATTCCTTGTCCTAGCTCCTTCGCCTTATCCGTTCTCTTTATCAAACTTCACCTTCGTCCATCATTCCATCCCAAAATTATTACATTCCTAAAAAGGGTTGATGTAAGCGCCGGCCAAAAAAGAATTCAGCAATAGCCAAAATAGAGTTGGAAAAGGGGTAGGAAAATTATATGATGATGATTTTATCTTAAGACACAACTACGAAAGTAAATATTGATCAGGTCCAAACATAATACGAAATTGAGCTATACATTAGACATAATTCACAAAAGAGCACGACAAAAGGGCTAAAGAGGACAAAACTAAATCAAACAAATCATGCGCAAATCACAATTTAATAAATAAGCGCAAAAAAAATCGTGCTCTAAAATTAGATCGAAAATGAAGAAAGGGTAATGTCCACAACAAGATCAGGATCATCACGCTCAGATGATCCTATAAAGATCGCAAGTTAATGGCCCCAGGCCCCTCCTTCTTGGAAATCATTGAGGGAATCTTATGACGTCCAAGAACCAACAGGATAGACAAATAACTATTTAAAGATTACGCATCGTCGATCAATGCAGTGCCTTTCTCCAGTCTTCTTTGAAGTCAATAAGAGAGTCATATGTCTAGCAATGGACATCCTATTTTAGAGATGATCATGATAATGATGAATTGATGTATTTGTATCCACTTTCAGGGATCGGAGTAATAGACTTTGAGAACTGGAGACCTATACTACGTCAAAACTTTGGAACGATGGAACCTATTCGTGTTCTGGCTCCCATATTGGAGAGAATAGAACATTGGTGGTGGCCAAAGCAGTGGATTGATAAAGAGGTAAGCAAGATAATAATATTGGCAATAATATATACAATACAAAGAATCAGTACGCTGAGTAAGTGGAACTAAGAACAACAATTTGTTGATCGTACAAAGTGTCGTCCTATGTGGGGATCGGACCCACAACACTCAGCGTAGTAGTGAGCGGCGTGGCGACCGCTTAAACCATTACGCCATCCGCGCAGTCGAGTTTCAGGTGTCCATGGGCGGCGGTGGTTGGTTACCATCGAGTGACCCGTCATAAAAAAAAATACAGATCAATAACATTAGCAGTTAGTACAGTATATACCCCTATAACACGGTACTCCTTTAACGCATTTTCATAATACGCGATTTCAATCCCTCATATAGCACGGGTATTCCCCCATATAACGCGGGGATTTCCTACGTTATATATGTGTACTGTGAAATTTATAATCATTTGTAGAGTTTATAATTAGTTTATAAGTTCATAATTAGACTTAAACCCCCTTTAATGAGAAAAGTAAAAAGTGAATCATTTGTACAAGCACGTTATAGGAGAATGCTCCTTTAACGCGTTTACCTACAAGGCGGAACAAATCTACCGTGTTACAGTGGGTTTACTGTACTTAATTCGATGTCAAATTTGGACTAATAATAATAATAATATTCTACCACAATTACACAACGTCATCTCGTCCCAAACTAAGCAAAGCTTGTACTATGGCTACTAGACAACTGATATAAATACATATATACTTTTTTTTTGTAAATACATACTTATTGTACATAGAAACACCCAGACCAAATCAAACATTAAATGTTCATGCACACCAATGTGTGACTTGAGCGGGAATCGAACCCGCGATCTTTGAAATAGCAGTCCGTTACACAAACCACTACGCCATTCGGTCGTCGACTAATGTAATTAATGTAATAACATAATTTATTCAGGTATCTGTTAAATGTTTCAGGCCCAACGACGATTTGAAAGTTCAGCGCGATCTTTTCTTCAAACATCGTTGAATCTGGCCAAGAAGCTGCGTCCTAAAGCCTTGTGGGGTTACTATGGGTTCCCGGAATGCTTCAATCGACTTTATGGAGAGCCCGAGAAATGCCCATCTATGATACTGTCTGAGAATGATAAGTAAAGTCTTCACGATGATTGTTAAACCTTTGAATACGTTTTTAACTAACTTTTTTCTTTTTTTAAGGAGAACTGCACTAGGAATTTATCTTGTTTCGCAAGAGAATTTACAAACATAAATGAATGAGACACAAGGAACACCTAGACTCAGAACTACCATTTCTGAATTACACAAAGTATTGTCCCATGTAGGGAACAAACCCACAACACTTAACCACTACGCCATCCGTACAGTCAAAGTTATAGTTGTTTAATCAGAACATAAACAGTTTTTCGTGATCCGTCCGCTCGTTTCCCCTCTGTCATTATCATCATCAACAGCCTTTACACTAAACACCACCCCCACGGCCAGCCTCCTACTCTGGGAGGACCCGGACCATGTAATTTCAGGTCCTCAACGAGCTACTATACCACGCTAGCCAGACGGGTTGGTATAGGGTTTGTTTCAAGTTCGCCTTCTCTTTGCAGTGCTGTTGTCCTGTGTAGTTTGCTCCATTAGTCGACATGACACCCACGGGATGAACAGGGGGTGGTGACACTTCGTATTCTTAATCCGTTACCACACAGATAGAACCCGTGCCTTCTATACCTTAGAATTAAATAATAATAAAAAAACTGCAACATAGTAATTATATTCTTTAATGCCTTTCCCTTCTGTTCTAGGTTATCTTGGCTCTGGTCCAAAAGTACAGCCTTGTTTCCATCTGTGTATACTTCCGAGCCCGAGACGACGCCTGAACAACTAGCCAAGTTCATCAAAGGAAAAATTAATGAAGCGGCAAGAGTAAGAACAAAAGGCACACCCATCCTACCTTACTTTTGGTTCCGCTATAAAGACGGGAATAATCTTAAACAGGTTAGTGGAAATGAGAAGATTCCTAGGTTTAAAATAAACTATTTCGGGGTTCGCCTGAATCATTAAATGTAACATCTAGTACAGCCTGAATTGTCCTCCATTATTTACTTAATGTTTTTGTTGTTTGGATACATATAAATTAGGATTAAATATAAATACTTCGACAATCGATACGTCTTACTTCATACAAATATATCCTGTGTCGCGGGGGACTTTACAAACATACATGAAATGGACACAAAGAATACCCAGACTCAACAACAATTTTGGTTCACACTATGTGTGGTCCCGTGTGGAGATCAAACAGCACGCAGCGCAGTAAGAAGCGACGTGACCGCTTAAACCACTACTTCATCCGTGCGGTCTAGTCTCTGACATAACTAGACTAGAAAAAAAGCCTTGGAAGAGCTAGATCTTCAACCATCTTCCATTTGAAGTCGCGTTTTCGATTACCAAATTCAGCTGAATTGGAATAAACACGATAACAGCCATTTGTGTTTAGAAATCATCTTTTTATATGTAACCAAATTACCTGATGTTATGTGACTACCGCCGCCAATGGACACCTGCAACCCCTCGCCAATTTCTGGGGGGGTGGTTTGGGCTCCGGTGAACTCATTTACTTGGTGTAAAGCAACGAGAGAACTGCTTAACACTGGTTTTCTAGGAGGTTCTGATATTACTCCAGTTGAGCCAGTTCAAATGTGCCGAAGCAAGGATCTCCCACGATTATCGGAGAGGTCACTAGAGAAATCATCATCACCAGCTCTTAATTTTATATTTACTAGCTTTTTCTGGCTGCTCCGCCCGCGTATCGACCGACAGGTTAGCGCTGTAAAAAGTAGCTTATGTTACTCGCTGATAATGTAGCTTTCCACTGGTAACAGAAGTTTTAAAAGCGTAACAAACAAACAAACACACTTTCGCATTTAACTACCTTAGACTCATCTTTAGCTCTTCGTCTATTTCAGAATGATTTGCAAGCTGCTCTCGACGCATTCTACAACTCCGATGCCTCAGGGTTTATCATCTGGGGCAGTTACAAGGATGTCATAAACAAATCCTTGTGTCTTCAGCTAAAAGAATATGTCACAAATATCCTGGGACCTGCTGTAGCCAAATACACCAAACCATTATTGTTTAACGTCGACAATATTTCCACTCAACCAAAAAATGAAAGTCAACCGGACATTAAACCCAAATGGAAACTGTCAGAGGATTTTAATTCATATATTCAACGTGTTGTGGTTGAAGAGTTGAGGAGACAAATGAGAGTGAAGCATTATGCAAAGGGAAGTCAGCTCGTTGATGTGATTCTTGAGAAAATTGCCGGTTACTACGTGAATAATAGCTATTACAATGTTCATAATAACACTTCGGAAGCTCCAGTTTTTCTTAGTGCGAACACATTCAGAAACACATCAGATGAAATTATCAGTAAGTTTATTTTTCACTTAGCTGACTTTTCCGGGGTTACACATTTATCTTTATTTTTAGTTTTAGTATACTCTTACTTAAGTAGTACTAGTAAGTAGAATTGAACTTAGGCGCTGCATTGACATCGATACGGAAGGTCGGTTCACCTGTAAAAAAGATCTCCTAGCGAGTTCAGAGCTATTTGGGTAGTACCGAATAACAATACTGTGATAGAGCCATGCTTCGGCACGAATGGGCTGGCTCGACCGGAGTGATACCACGGCCTCACAGAAAACCGGTGTTAAGCAATTCTTTCGTTGCCTTTCACTGAGTGAGTGACGTTACCGGAGCCCAAATCCCCCCTCCCGCTAACTCGGGAGGGACTCCAAGGGCAGCAACGCACTTGTGACTTTTGAGTTGCAGGTGTCCATGGGCGGCGGTAGTTGCTTACCACCAGGTGACCCGTCTGCTCGTTTGCCCCCTTATACCATAAAAAAAAACACGTAAATATACCGAATATCTAGACTCATATTATAAGTTAGTGTTTGTTTCTTTAGTTGAACGCGCTAATGTCAGGAACTACTACTTCAAATTCAAAAATTCTTATATCTTTGGATGGCTTGTTTATCGAAGAAGGCTATATAACATAACACAAAAATGTTCCAAAAACGCGGAAAAATGTATCCCTTTTAAGAGACGTAGACGCAGCTGCGCGGGTCATATATAAATACCCCATCATTAAAGTTTTTGATGTATTTCATCTTTCCTCTCGCTTTCCCGCAATCCGTGGGAGGGATTTCGCAGAAGGGGACGGAAATGTGTTACAGGAAGTTAGGGATGTCTACGTTATTTAATTGGACCAATAGTCCCGACAGCACTGCAAAGAGAAGAAAAATTTGAATCAAACCCTATACCACAGGTTGGTATCGGGCTTGTTTCAAGTTTTCCTGGCTAGCGTGGTATAGTAGGCCAAAACCTCATTTCTAAGGAGAGGATTTCTAAGGAGGTGGACTATTAAAGGCTGTTGATGTGAATAGTCTCGACCAGTGCTAGAGTTGGCCGTCAGATGGTATCTATATCTGGTCTTGTACATCATATGCAACTATTGTAAGGCTTACTTCTTATTTTATTCTAAAACTACCAAGTTTTGAGAAAATCTAAAAAAATTTTTTTTTTTAAACTTAGTATCATGCAAAATTAAAAGATGTTTTTGACGTCTTTTATGTAGTTTTATCCCTTTGACCCTTTGCAATATGATTTAAATTCATTTTAATGCTGTACCTCAAGATGGAACCTGTTTCTTCTTTAGTGTTATGTAGTGACGGATTAAGAATACGGAATATCACTACTCCAATTCATCCCGCGGGTGTCGTAAGAGCCGACTAAGGGCGCAAAACAACGCATGACACGCACTGCAAAGAGAAGGAAAACTTGCCACAAACCCTTTTTTTTTTTTTTTTTAACGTGTGGAAATCCCCTCGGACCGTCACCCCTCCGGGGTTTGCGGCGGGGTGGTGTGTCGGACTCGGACCGACTAAAACCACACGGTGTGCCACTCTGCGCCTGTAACAGGAGGGATCCGGGAACAGCTGTTGTTAAGACATCCGGACCCCTCCTAGCGCCAGCCCGCTCCTGGTGCGGGCTACGTCTCGATGTTTTCCTCTCTTTATAGGCGACGTCCGGCACACGCGGACGCCGCCCCCTCGCGGCTGGCCAAACTAATGCGGGTGGAGGGGAAACCCACCCCGTCCACCCGCGGCCACACTCAGGGCGGCATGAGGCTGTGGTAGGCGGGCCTCCGCCGCCCGGTTCGCCGGCGGCGGATCGGGTCCGAGTGGAGGTCGTCCTCCCGGGCCCTCTCCGCCGCCTCCTTCCGCGAGATTACTACCTCGCAGAAGGTTGCGACCGCGGTAAAACAACTGTCGCTACCGGCCATGGAGCGTACTACGGCCGGTAGCGAGAGATCCACTCCGATGACTGCAGTGAGGGCCCGGCGCTGCGCCGCCCATGCGGGGCAGACCGCCAGCGTGTGCTGGGCCGAGTCCTCACTGCAGTCGCAGTGGTGGCAGGCGGGACTCAGTTCCCTCCTAGCGACCGTGTGCAGGTACTTTCCGAAGCAACCGTGCCCGGAAAGCACCTGCGTCAGTCGGAAGGAAAGGGTCCCGTGCTGCCGCCCTGCCCACTCGGCGATGACCGGCTGGAGAGCCTCCACGGCGGCGAAGCCAGCGCGTGGAGTCTCCAGCCGGAACGACCAACGAGCCATCGTGGCTCGGCGAGCGGCTTCGCGCCACTCGCGCACATCCTCGGGCGGAGGGCGAAATCCGCTCTCCGCCCGGTAGTCAGCCACTCGCCGATAAACTTCGGCGAGCACTTCCGCCTCCAAATCCCACGGGGGAGTTCCGGCCAATGCGCATGCCACCTCCGTCGAAACGGTGCGGAAACCGCGTATGGCTCTGACCGCCATTACCCTCTGAGGGCGCCAGAGGCGTACCCTATTCTGGGCGGTCAGAGCCGCCGCCCACACCGGTGCACCGTACAGTGCCATTGACCGGACAACCCCCGTGTACAGCCGTCTTGTCGCGACGCTGGGTCCACCCATATTGGGCAAAAGTCGCCCTAGGGCAGACGCAGCGCCGACCAGCTTTGGAGCAAGCTGTCGGAAGTGCTCGTCGAAGAGCCACCTCCCGTCGAGGATCAGGCCCAGATATTTCATCTGGGCCCGAACCGGTACGAGGACCGAGTTGACCACGATTGAGGCGCCAGGGGGTGGACCACGACTCGGCCCATGGAATAACAGGGCCTCCGTCTTATCTAGGGCCACCCGTAAGCCCAGCGCCTCAATGCGCCCGACCACCAGGGAGACTCCCCCTGTGGCCAGGCGCGCCGCCTCTTGGAAGTTTGCCCCCCGGGCTGTCACGAGGGTATCGTCTGCGTAACAGATTACACCCAGCCCGGGGGGGAAATCGGCGCGAAGGGCCCAGTCGTACCCTATGTTCCACAAGAGGGGTCCAAGAACAGACCCCTGTGGAACACCGCACGACATGGGCCGACACCTCTGATGCAGCTGACTCCCTGGCTCACTCCCTGATGCAGCTGAATGGCAGACTATTGAATGCGTTGGCGATGTCCAGTGACACCGCCAACAGCACGCCGCCACAGCTCACGGCCTCTTCGGTCACGGCCCTCAGGCGCAACACGGCGTCGACTGTCGAACGCCCCGCCCGAAAACCAAACTGGGCGTCCGACAGATCGGGGCCCACCTCGCAGAGGTGCCGGACGATGCGGGCAGAAAGAACCCTCTCAAACAATTTGCCCGCCTCGTCCAGCAGCACGATGGGCCTATAGGCCGCGACCGAATCGGCTGGCCGTCCCGGCTTCCTCAATAGGACCAGCTTCCCGCTTTTCCAGCACTCAGGGAAGCGTCCCGACGCCAAGCTAGCGTCGAACACCTCCCCGAGGCGGTCTGCCATGTGGTTGAGGGCCAGGGCCAGCACTCGGGCCGGTACCCCGTCTGGCCCAGGGGCGGCTGTTCTACGGATCCGTTCCAAGAACACCGCCCCTACCTCCGAATCCCGGACGGGCGGAACATTGTCCTCCCCGTGCTCCCCGTCGTCTCCGGCCAGGGAGGCCATCGACGGGGGAGTGTGTTCCGCTCGTTGTGGGAAAAGGCCCTCAACCACTTCTCGCAGGAAGCTGGGCTGGAGAGTCTCCGTAAGGGGGGGGCCCGACGCGCGGAGCTTTTGTCGCACCGCGCGGTAAGGGCGACCCCAGGGGTCACGATTAAGACCCTCCAGCATCTCCTGTCTCTTTTCCTCTTTGGCGCGGCTAATGGCCAGCTTCAGAGTTTTCCGCGCCCGCCGGTACTCCTCATGAAGCCGGTCCTCCTCACCGTCTCCACGGTGACGCCGCCGACTGCGCGTGTAGGACCTCCGGGCACGTGTACAGGCCGCACGGAGGTCCGCCAGCTCCTGGGACCACCAGTAGACCTCCTTCCTTGGAGGCCGACGACCTCGAACGCGGGGCATGGCCGCATCGCATACATGCGTAATCGCATCGCGAAAGCGGCCAGCCCCCACGTCGACCTCCTCGGTCGGAGCCTGAGGAGACAGCCACGAGTGAATTATGGCTGCCTCCTCTAGTAGGTCCCGGTTCAGCCTGGCAACAGCCCACCGCGGAAAGCGGGATAAACGCCGCGCCACGTGACCCCTACTGGAGTCCTGGGTCCGGGAGAGCTCAAATCGGATATACAGGTGATCCGAGAGCGTCTCAACCTCTTCCAGGACACGCCAGTTCCTTACTCGTGCGGCGAGGGCAGGGGTAGCGAACGAGAGGTCCACTATCGACCCCCCCTGCTGTCGCACGCACGTGTTGGTGGAGCCTCTGTTTAGAAGACAGAGGCCCACCGAGGCCGCCCACTCCTCTACGGCCTCGCCCCTGGCGTCCGTCCTGGGGGAACCCCACGCAATGGACTTTGCGTTGAAGTCCCCCAGCACAAGGGACGTGCCCAGACGCTAGTCGCCGTATCGAGGTCTCCAAGCTGATTAGGAAAACCTCGAAGTCGTTCAAACTCCGGTTGGGGGAGAAATAGACACCATATATGGTGATCCCCCCCCACTCGACGGCAACATATCCAGTGCCCTTGTCTCTTAGCGACAAGGGCGGGGAATGAGCCGTCGTGGAACCGACGACTGCCACGGAGCCGTCCCAGTCACCCATCCAGTTTGGACGGGGAGGGACAGAATAGGGCTCCGCGACTACGGCAACACCTATCGACCACTGTGCCATGGTTTGCAGGAAGAGATCCTGCGCCGCGGCACAGTGGTTCAGGTTCGTCTGGACCAGGAGGTTGGAGACTTGATCCATTACTGGATCGTCTCTACAACCTCCTCCATAGGCGACGACGACGACGCACGTACTACGTCGGAGGCAGCCTGGGTCGACTGGCTAGCCCCTGACGTCTGCCGAGAACTGCGGGGAGGCTTGCAGCCTCTCTGCCCCATCTGGTGATTGGCGGGCTTATTGCCCGCCGCACACGCTGGGCAGTGAGGGGCGGCAGAGCATTCTGCCGCCTTATGCCCGGGTTGACCGCAGCGGAAACACAGTCCGCCGCAGTCAAAACAACTGTCGCACTTGACGCGCGTGTGTCCCGTGGCCAGGCATTTAAAACACCTCATCGGTCTCGCCGCCAGGACTGTGATCCTGGCGCTCACGAAACCGATGAGCAGCCTGCCGGCGTCGGCCAATACTTTGGCCGACGCTACGGGACAGCTGACCCACACGGCGCCAAGCCCTCCTGGACCGGGGCGGATGGTGCCGACCCTGACGTTGTCCGCGCTGCACCCCGTCTTCTCCCGGATTACAGCGCGGACATCTTCGGCCGTCACAGAGTCGTCCAGGCCCGAGATGCGCAGCTCTGCGCACTTAGTAGGCCTGGCGATCTTTACACCATCCGTGGCTGTAAAGAGTCCCCGCAGCTTCTCGGCAAATGTGTCCGCCGTCTTAGCGCCTTCAGCCCCAGGGAACTCGAGGACTCGAGCTCCCGTCCTGGGCGAGGCGCATCCTGACCCCCACCGTCCCAAAGTCGTTGGCGAGGCTGTCCCGGGCCTTTTTGAAAACGGCCGCGTAGGACAGCCCGCCGTCCGCCGCCTCCGGGGACACGGTCACCACTACAGCCGCGGTTTTGGGCGGCTGCAGCTTCCGCGGCCTCTTTGTGGAGGCCGTTGCCACCGGTGGCGAAGGCTGGGCTTGGGCTGCTTTTTTGGCAGCCTTTTTGGCCCGCCTTCGGGACTTCTTGGAGCCCCTTGCCTCCTGCCAACCCTCGTTGGAGGGGGCAGGTGCGGAGGGGCCCGGCAGGGGTGTCGGAGTGGGGAGCGGAGGGAATGCCACTCCGCTCCTCGGCGCCGTTTTAGGCCCCGTCTTGGCCGGCGCCTGGGGATGTGCCTTGGCCGGCGCCTTAGCCGGTGCCTTGGCCGGCGCCTGGCCCGGTGCCTTGGCCCCCCTCCTCGGCTTTTGGGGAGCCGATGGAGTCGGGGCAGACGCCGCCGCCGCGTAGGAGACGCGGCCTCCCACTACGGGGAGCGCGGTCGGAGCGGCGGCCTTAGGCCGCTGTGCCGACGCGAGCGGGGGGCGCATAATCGGCGCAGGAGGCAGTCTCGCCTCCAGGCCAGCCAGGCGTCCGTCCAGCATATTCCCAACTGCGATGAGGATTTCTCGCAGTTGGGAGTCAAATGCCCCTGAGTTGGTGGTAGGGGCAGGCTGGGACGCGGACGGGGCTTCCCGCTCGGGGAGGTTCGCCTGGAAGCGGGCGAACTGAGCGCTCAGCTCGTTCACCCGCTCCGTCAGCTTCTCGTTGGCCACCTGCAGGCGAGAGACGTCGCCCGCTAGGCCCTCCACGACCTCCGACAAAGCGGAGGAGGAGTCCTTAAGGGCCCTCACAAACGAGCCCTTAAGGTTCACGGATTTGGTGGCCACCTTGTCGATGACGGCCACCGCCGCTTTCGCCCTCTCCTGCACGGACACGGGAGCCTGGGGGCATTTCCCCCCACCGGCTCCCGAACCTTGAGCAAGAGATCCGCGATCTCCTCCTCCGCTACGGCCTCGCCGTCCACCCGTACGCTCCTGTACGACTCCGCGTTGGAGAACGCGGAGCCTGACGGGATCGCGACCGAGGCCGGTTTGCGCGCCCTCCCTCGGCGGCTGCTTGCCACCTTTGGTGGCATCATTTCGCCGGACGTGTCGGTTTCCACGTCCCCTGAGCGTCTGCGTTTCCGGCTGTCGCTCCGCTCCGCTTCCATGGCCTCCGCGCCATCCGATGAAGCGGCGGATCCGGAACGCAGCCGATCCGATGCTCTTCGGCTCCCAGTGACCAGAGTCAGACTGACCTCTGGGAGCCCCACCGAGATAGGCGTTCCCGACGCTATCTCACCCTCCGTGGATGAACCATCCACTCCACTGTTCCTCTTCTCTTTTATTTCCGAGTCCGTTTTGCTTGCCTGTTTCTGTATGTTTATTGGTTGCCGTTTCTTTAGATTTTTGGTGATATGCTCCATAATAAATCCCACGAGTGGGGGAGAACTAAAGGTCCACCCGGGCAGAGATCCCCCATTACCCGGGCAAGCGTAAATTTTTAACCCAACCGAGGGGTCCGCAGGTACCTCGGCTTGGAGTGCGCTCGCGACTGAACTTCCCATCAGCCATGCATCCCCTGGCCACGCACCAGAACACGGGATTCGGGGAATTTTTTAGAGAGGTTATCTTCCTCGCGGTCCGGGCGGTTAAGCCAAGACCCTCGCCCCCGATCAGAGCCGCGAGACTTAACCACAGCGCTCTTCTCGGGATTACGATATGCCGACGGTTGACAGGGAGACTACGTCCCCCTGCCTGCTCGGTGGTAGTGTGAGTACACGCCGAGCCCGTCCTCCTTTCTCCACCGCTATCAGCGGAGAAACTGTGGCCCCTACAGGGCCCCGCCATCAGGTTTTTTACCGAGGTTTCCTCCTCCATGCTCCGAAGAGCGAAGAGCCAGCAGGGCAACCGGCAGACACGCCCACCCTGCTGGACCAGGCCTTGCCCGAGAGCCGATGAACGGCCTCCTCTTCTGCTAGAATATTGGCCGCTGGCGATAATCCTCTCCTCCAAGAGGACAAGGAGGAAACAGTACCATCGCCAGCGTTTCCAGGGTGCACCACGGGGAGGTTTTCTAGCCTAGCACCCCAAACCCTATACCAACCCGTCTGGCCAGCGTGGTATAGTAGGCCAAAGCCTCCTTTCTGTGGAGAGGCCTATGTCCAGCAGTGGACTAATAAAGGCTGTTGATGTGATGCAATATATTTACTTTCAGCACCAACAACCTCAGATTCAACCATTAAAGACACTCATCTTGGAACTGCAGGAGGTATGACTGATTCCAGAGCCACATCATCAACAGGCAGCGCTATTACAAATATTTCAACTTTGACACCTGAAAATTCACGGACCCATTTCACTGAACCTACAACTGGTACATATAATTTGAGTTCTGATATTATACCATTGAGTATCTCGGGTTCTCTGCAATAGACTTAATTTTAATGTTGATACATACACACATATTTTATACAGAAACATTCAGACCAAATCAAACATCAAATGTTCATGCTCGCGTTTTACTTGAGCGGGAATTACGTTGCAGGCCGTTACACAAACCATTACGCCATCCTGGCTACCACACATAAGAATTAACGAGATCTAGTAACAAGGATTAAATACCTGTGAAATCAGATGAGTCAGATTGCGACCATGGTATGTTCAATCTGGTAGAAACGTCAGACAAATTTAAAGATGTGAATTGATTAAAGAAAGCTGTTAGATCGAAAGTTTTATTACGAGACTGGCCTTCAGTTTCGTAAATTGATTTCGTAGGCGGTCTAAAGGGTAGGCGTACATGGGCGCCGGTAGTTCCTTACTATCAGGAGACCCGTCTATACCGTAAAAAATAACTGGATCGTGTATGACCATTCAGTCATGAAACTACAACAGTTTTAAAGTGTGGTGTGAACACCAGACGGGTCACCTGATGGAAAGCGACTACCGCCGCCCATGAATGCCTGCAACTCAGGAGTCACAAGCGGGTTACCAGCCTTTGATTAAGGAGTACGCCTTGCAATATAGATACTACTAATACTATAAATGTGATGTCAGTGTGGAGTAATTAATTATTATGATATAAGACTATATTACAGGACATCTTTATATGCAATATTTATTGTCCAAAAATATATTAAATAACCGCTATACCGTGTGGTGACGGATTAATAATACGGAGTGTCACCACCCCTATTCATCCCCTGGGTGTCGTAAGAGCCGACTAAGGGCGCAATACAACGCATGACACCAGCACTGCGAATAGAAGGAACACTTGACACAAACCCCATACCCGTCTGGCCAGCGTGGTATGGTAGGCCAAAGCCTCCTTTCTAAGAAGAGGCCTATGTTCAACAGTGGACTATTAAAGGCTGTTGATGTGATGTGATGAACCGCTATATCGCTACCCAGGACGGACGTGTACGATAACTTTGTAAATTACCCATTAGTGTTTGTAATATGGAAAAGTAAAAAACGCGGTCTCTTTTTGATATGCAATTCCGTAGTTTCGTGCGTTTATATTGCACGAAAACATGTTTTTTTACAACTTCACATTACAAATCTTTGTAATTCTTGGATTTCCTCTGCTATAATATGCATGTATTATACATATAAACCTTCCCCTTGAATCACTCTCTCTATTGGTGAAAATAAAATCCGTTGCGTAGTTTAAAAGATCTCTAAGCGTACAAGAAAGCTTTATTTTATACAATGTAAAGATACATTTTTAATTTAGTTTCATTTTCAGATGTCAGCAAGTGTAGTACAACTAAAATGATGCCGATTGCTAACCAATCCAGTTTAAATAGCATTATTGTAGAAGAGACTAATGAAAAATACTACCGTGCTGTGAAGAAAGGTGATATTTCGACATTTTGTCAACATTAACCCGTAAATAAAATGGTGGAAACAATAGACTGGGTTTTTATTTTATCTGTTTTAAGTTTAACTAAGTCGTCCCATAGTGGGTTTGAATCCACAACACTTGGCGCAGTAGGAAGCGGCGTGGCGACCGTTGACATTTTTGTCAGAAACAGAATGAAATAGATTTATGTATATTGACTGCACGGATGGCGCAGTGGTTTAGCGGTCGCCACGCCGCTTCCTACTGCGCCGAGTGTTGTGGATTCAAACCCACCATGGGACGACACTTTGTGTGATCCACAAATTGTTGTTCTGAGTCTGGGTGTTCTTTGTGTCCGTTTCATGTTTGTTTGTAAAATCCCCAGCGACACAGGATATATAGGAGTTGTCTTATAAAGAAAGATATTTAAAGAAAGATAAATTTTTATAATCTATTGCAATCCTTTGGCATTAGTTTTATTTTACGAAATATATTTGTTGTAGAACTACATAATTTCTTACACAATCATTGCGATATTTTCACGTATTGGGTATAAAGAATAAAGAAATTTTTTTTCAGTTATTATTTGCTATTGACTTTAATAAAATTGTTTTGTTTGTAAACTATTGTCACAAACATATAATAATAACGAAATATAAACCAATTTATTAATAGAGTTATAGATATACCTATCATCAACAGCCTTAAATAGTCCACTGCTGGACATAGGCCTCTCCTTAGAAAGGAGTTTTTGGCCCACTATACCACGCTATCGAGACGGGTTGGTATCAAGTTCTCCTTCTCTTTGCAGTGCTGTTGTCCTGCGTAGTTTGCACCCACGGGAGGAATAGGGGTGGTGACACTGCGTATTCTTATCCGTCACCACACGTATCCTATACCTATCTAAAATATAAAATATTTCGTGTCAGAGTCTGTGGTCGCAATTCTCCGAAATTGCTCTACGGATTTTATTGCTTTCTTTGTACGGTCGTAAACTATTTTTTACCCCCTTTTTTATTCGCGATTTAATTTTACGTTCGATTTGTTTAATTATATGGCAGAACTACGTTTGTTGGGTCACCTAGTACCTATGTATATATTCTTAAGCAAGATAAGCGCTTGCCTTAATGTGTTGTTATAAATACTCGTAGTTAATTAGGATTTGTAAAACCACTTGTTTTACTTAAAAGCGAATAGCGGTAATTGTGACTAATGAACTTAAATAATAATTAATTCTTTAAGTTACACAAGCTTTTTATATCTAATGCAGAACTTGTGTGTCGTTTTTCTGTTGAGGCCTAGAATTCGTTTTCTTTTTTTTTCTTTTTATAAAGACAACTCCCTCATTCGGAATATATCCTGTGTAGCGGGGGAATTCACAAACATACATGAAACGGACACAGAACACCCAGACTCATAACAACAATTTGTGGATCACACAGTGTCGTCCCATATGGGGATCGGACCCACAACACTCAGTAGTAAGCGGCGTGGCGACCGCTTAAACCACTACGCCATCCGTGAAGTCAAATTTAATGTCTTTCAACTGTAAATGTTACAGAAATTTGTTGATAGATGGCGCATTGTGTTCTTCGCACTCATTGAGTATAATAACATTAATAAAATGAAACGGTTTCATTCATACATTTTATTAACACAAATTTGAAACACATTATAAAAAAGACAAAAAGGTTCATTTACCTACACAAATATAAAAAAAATAATAACATATAGATAAGCATATAAAGAACACAGGGTACAGCTGACTGTAAGTGGAAGCGAGTCAGGCAACGAGAGAGATGGCGGCCCGATATTTCCCTTTGTCTCTGTTTAGCTAAGCTGCTATTGGCTACTTATTAGCGCCTCATATTCCCCAGCCAACCACAGAGCTCGGTTAGAAAGAAATAGAGGGAATCTATCTATTATCCATCTCTCTCGTTGCCTATATTGTAAGATTGGGGCTCTTGTTCACTCTATGCTTATACCTCTAAGATAAATAGAGTTTAAATTTGATGTTAAATTAATTCAAAAGGATTTAATAGAACTGATTATTCACATAATTATATTTACGGGAAGGCGATAGTTTATGGACATATTAAGTAGGCTTAATAGGCTATTATAACAGGCATGTGAAAGTCAACTGCACTTTTATTTGTTGTTTCGGAAATTCAAATGAAGATGGAGCTAGTAGTTCAAATATTCCATATAAGTTTCTTTTTTGTTGAGCTTGAAGCAGCGCATCGCCTATTTTTACATTATAATTACGTGTGTAGTTAAAAATAAAAGATAATGATATGATCTGAAATAAGAACTATGGAGAAGAAACTCAAAATGGCGTCAGACAGATGTTAGTTATATTTTTTCGATTATTTTTGGACACATTACAAAACTTATTTTCTTCTGTCAGTACTTTAAATACGGTAGCGCCATCTAGTTTAGTAGTAGACATATCCTCTGTTATTTCCCTCCATAATGAAAAAACTCAGCCACAGATTATAGCATAACAATTGTTTTTAAAAAGCAAAGGCGTCTCATCATCTGTTATAAAGTTTCTATCAGGTCGAACACTCGCGAAGCAGTTTAATTTCGGTTCACAAATAAACTTCAATTCAACTTCAGAACATTCTTTGATTCTGATGCAGTCTTTGTTCAGTTCTGTGATGGAATACGACGTAATGATAAAAGGGGTCTTCTGTTTTAGGATGACATTAACGGTAGAAGGCCAAGGGTCCTTGCCATTGTAGACTGATGACCTCTGGATGCTGGGGTTAAAGGCACATACTGAAAGAATAATAAAAATAATTAGAGTTAAATGGTTTATTACGATTTTTTGTTTAGTATAGGGAACAAAGCAAAAGAACAGACCAGTCACCGGTTGGTAAGCGACTACCACACCTGTACCTCAAGAGACTCAGATGCGTAGCCATCCTTTGGCTGCACAACCTCCAGCCGCCCACGTAATCTTGGAATCTGATACAAAATCGCACCCAGAAGCCTGTGAACGTCCCAGAAGGCTTCTGGAAGGAGCTTGGTTTCCTCACCTGGTCAACTTTACCTCGACGCATAAAAGACAATGATCGAGTCTGATTGCGGAAATCAGAATGCCCTTCCCCTCCCTCCTCGCCAAATTAGGAGAGAGAGTCTGAGCCTCCAAAAACCAAAGAAAGATTTGCTGGAAACTGGTTGTCTGTGAGACCGTCGTATCACTCCGGTAAAATATACTTTAAGAGTTTAATTCCTCTTGATAGTGACACAAAATTTTCGAAAGGACGTCACAATGAAAAACTAAATTACAGTCACACAAATTGAAAAGTAACAAGTTCTCAAAGAGTTCCATTATCGAATTCCATACCTGTTTTTGTACTCTTTATTGTAAGTGGCCAGATCCAGAGACTTTCAGTATGCGCTATTCATTCATCAACAGCCTATACTAGTCCACTGCTGGACATAGGCCTCTCCTTAGAAAGGAGGTTTTGGCCTACTATACCACGCTGGCCAGACGGGTTGGTATAGGGTTTGTTTCAAGTTTTCCTTCTCTTTGCAGTGATGTTGTCCTGCTTAGTTTGCTCCCTTAGTCGGCTCTTACAACACCCACGGGATGAATTGGGGTGGTGACAATTTGTATTCTTAATCCGTCACCACACGGACGGAGTATGCGCTAAGTGAAATGTTAATATTAAATGATTCAATTATTCACCTAGGTTATAAACCGAACTCACGACCTATGATTTAGATGTCAGAATCACAAACCACTACACCAACAGGCCAGTCAAAAACTAGAAGTACCCATGCTGTCTTTATAGTTTTACTCACTTAAATCAGGTGTGATGAAGTCTTCACTCATCTTATAGTCTGCGTACGTCCTCTTGTCCTGGAAGTGCATCACCACTCTACGTTTATCTTGATGGCACTGATCACATAACCTGGAACATAATAATAATAATTAGTTTTTTACTCCTCACAGTGTTTATGCAAAAAAATTCATGGGTATTCTGCTCCTTCCTTCTGAGATTCCTTTTCTGAGATCAGCGAGTTCAACTAAACAAACGTCCAGTTTTATAATTCTAGTAAAGACAAAAACCTAAAGATACCAATCTTAGCAGCTGCAAGAAAATATGGAATAAAAAGCCTTCATTATTCCACTGGCATGTACATTCATATGAATATTAATGGGTGTGGATAATGTTAGTCCAATATACATGCCATCTGGACCCCTCTTCGGGTGAAGGCCTCCTCCAGAGATTGCCACTCGTAGCGACTTCTTGCGGGGTTGGACCAATTACGTGTTCCGACGGTCTCTATCTCGTCCTTCCACCTTGCCTTTGGCCTCCCTCTGCTTCTGCCCATGATGTACACTCCACATGGTCACGGTCTTAGTCTACCTTTTCTTTTCTGTGTCGGAAATCCCCTCGGAAACCACTTACCGGTGGCAATGTCGGACTCGAACCGACTAAAACCGCACGCCGTCTCAGGTACCAGTAGTCGGGGAACCAGGTGTACCCTAGAAAGGAAATTCCCTGGTGCCCCGACGTACCTCGGGCCATCTACGGCGGGTAGACGACCCCCCCTGTGTGGGAACCCCCATGTTCAAGGTCTGCTTCTGCTAGGGTGACAAATGGCCTCACCTGTTGTCAGTGTAGCGTGCCACATGACCCGCCCACCTCCATTTCGGACCTCGTGTGAAGGACAAGGCATCTATGACGCCAGTTGCAGCTGCAATAGTTATGTATAAAGACTATATTTTCAAAAGAAATTTGATTACTTGATCTTTCCCAGCAGTTCTAGTGGCAAATTCGAAGGGTTGAGGTTATAGTTGATAAGAACAACCCTCAGCTCTTGAAGATCAGGCCGTAGGTGCAAAAAGAACACCTCCCATTTGTTCAGAGCGTCTGCCTCAAACTGCAGTTCTGCGCCAACCACGTGTATGGTAAAAATTGATTTCTGAAACAATATTATCAAATATAATTACGCCTAGAATGGTTGGAAATTAAGAATTTAATTTTACAGTTTATTACAATACATCATAATGGTTGTTTAAGCGGATCCTCACATGGGACAACATTTTGTGTGATCCCCAAATTGTTGTTCTGAGTCTGGGTGTTCTTTGTGTCCGTTTCATGTATGTTTGTAAAGTCCCCCGCGACACAGGATATTTTTCAAGTGCGGGGAAAACAAAATATGCGCATTGACGAGTTCAACGCATTTTGTCCTATTCGCAAATGCAAATGACCACATTCAGATGGTCCAGTTTGCATCTTGTCCAAATCTCAGTCTTTTATAATTTAATTATGCAGTCTCATAAAAACATAACTGATAAAAATCAGGAACTTGTAAAATCAAAGAAATGTAATGGTACATCGTGCGCGGCACTTCTTTTCACCGAATAAATTAGTCGATGTAGTCCTGCCTAAAAATCTGATTTCCACATTGCACAGATGCAGTTCATAGTAAGTCTAATATCATCATCATCAACAGCCTTTAATAGTCCACTGCTGGTCATAGGCCTCTCCTTAGAAAGGAGGTTTTGGCCTACTATACCACGCTGGTCAGACAGGTTGGTATAGGGTTTGTTTCAAGTTTTTCTTCTCTCTGCAGTGCTGTTGTCTTAACTGCCCTTAGTTGCCTCTTACGACACCCACGGGATGAATAGGTGTGGTGACACTCTGTATCTAGCTCTATCCACTCTCTATCTCTGTAGTCTAATATAGAACTTCACAAATGAAACTTTGGAGTTCTCTGCAAAAAGTTACAGATATACAATCTGTGATCTTCTAAGAACGCAAATTACAGTTTAGTTTATAAACACTTGAGTAACGAAACCATACCGTGAGTCACAAAAATAGCACAGAGCCATCTGTTGAACATAAACATCAACAAATATGTATAAATTAACAAGACCAAAAGCAAGCGGCTAAAACCGATTAACCTTTAAGGTTGTCGTTGACATTCGGCAATGTCACCTTAAATTATCATCTTCATCACTATCTCCTGCCCTAGAACTGGGTCAAATATTTAAATGAGCGTTAACAAAAGTAATTATTAAAAAATTGTGATAAAGAATATTATCGCGACATCTAGTTTTATTAATACTAAGAATAGAATAACAGAAAAAAATTGCTGTTTGTGTGTCCTGAACTAATTTTAATAATCCATTTCTTAGCCTCAAGTAGGTTGCCGCGCTCTAGTGTCTACAGGCTGTTTAGTTTATTTTTATTTATTTAGGACAACTTACAAAACATACACTAATACATAGTTTACAAACATGTTTTACAAATATTTGCTGAGTGTTGTCTTACTTACAAGTTGCCACGGCATGGTAAGGGACGGTTACATCTAAGATTATACAATGCAATATCTATAATATATAATATACAAAACATACAGAATATCATCGAAATTACTTAGAGACAGTGATGCATTTAAAGTGGTCTAAGAAAGTCTAAATGACGCAATATCTTTGCTTTTAAATTTTGGAAACTGTTTGAGAAGTTGTCTACATCAATTTCACAATTTTTCGATTTCTGAAAGTTTAGTAGTAGTTTATGTAGAGATATGTCTAATCTAGGGCTTAACTCGCCATTAACCAGAATGGCAGTGTTACAACGAATTTTCTCGTTTGTAACATTTGGTCATTTTTGGCAATAGTTTGCCTAATTTTAAGAAAAAAAACACTTACTATCTTGAGTCTATTGATATATATTAATTGATTTTTTAAATTATTACCTGTTAAAGTCAATTAAAAAGTGTAAAACTACAAAAATAAATATCAGCATATCTAGATTAAAAAAATGGGTTATCTTACAGTTTTCCCCTTCTTTATAAGCTAGACATGAACTGTGCTTAGACTTTTAAGTTTGTGTGTTTGCTAGAAGTACCTTAGGATTTAGATGAGAGAAGAAGAAGTATTCAAGTTACTTCTTTGATGTGCAAATAGAATAAAAAGTTTTTATTACCTGGCCATTTTGGTATACCAAAACCCCCTTTCTAACGAGAAAGGCCTATGTCCAGCAGTGGACTATTAAAGGCCGTTGATGATGATGATGAACGTTACAAATGGACCGGCTCGACCTTAGTGATACCACGGCCTTACAGGAAACCGGAGATTAAAAATTCTTTCGTTGCTTTTAAAAGAGTGAGTGACTGGGACCCACACACTCCCGTTAATTCTAAGGGGAGGGACTGAAAGGGGAGCAACGCACTTGTGACTCCGGAGTACCAGGTGTCCAAGCGTGGTGTAAGTCACACACCATCAGCACGTCTGTTCGTTGTCCTCCCTAAACACTCTTTGGTTGAAACTCCTGGATTGGTCTTACCCCCTACGACCTATACGACTTCGCCTCATTCCACACAGGGGGTGAAACTCAGTCAAAAGAAACTCGAATGTGTCTGCTTACCTTGTATCCATTAGTCGTGATGTTATTTCTCCTGTACATCTGGTGGCAGTATGCGGCAGTAAGTGGGGCAGTCGCTAGCTGAGTCAATGCTGCGTATTGTATGTCATTCATATCTGAAATGGTAAATAAATAACTTGAAAAATCTCACACACGGCCGTCTAATCCTAAATTAGGTAGAGCTATCCTAGTAGCGGTAACCAGACTGCTGATAAACATCCATATTAATATTATAAATGCGAAAGTGTTTCTGTCTGTCTGTCTGCCTGTTACCTCTTCACGCTAAAACCGCCAAACCGATTCAGATGAGGTACAGAGATAGTTCCGAGTTACCCTCAAACTCGATTTCTGGAATAACAAATATCTTTGTACTTTACAAAGGATAGTTGTTATTCCAGAAATCGTGGTTTAAGAACATGAAAGGGGGGGGGTCAAAGTTTGTATAGGGAATCGATAACCGCTAACTGATTTAGATGAAATTTGGTGTGGAGATAGTTTGATTCTTGAGGAAGACATATGCTGTAACGACATACACGCGGGCTAAGACGCGGGAAAAAGCTAGTAGTTAAATATTTCTAAATATATTCATACCATAGATACATTACACCCAGACACGAACAAATGATCGTGCTCATCACACAATTATTTGTCCTGTTGGGTGGGAATCGAACCCACGACCTCTGCCTTAGCAGTCAGAATTACTAACCAATGTTTGGGCTCAGACGGCCGTATTTAAAATGTGTGAGGTTTATATTATTATTATTAGTTAATTTGGCTTAAAAAGGAAAAACGTGGACTCAAAATACGTCTTTCTCTACCCCTTCGGGGTTTAAAGACGTGAGGGTGAGTGTGCAAAAGATGCTTACCAATTTTTTCTTCATACATAGCTGCCAATACTTGATTGATATTCTCCGGTATTTTGTAATGCTCCTGCATAACCTTGGTCGGCAGCCGAGGCTCCAGTCTTCCCTTGGTCTGCTGGTAGCAGACCAGCTTCTGGTAGAGGCTGTAAGACTTGCACCAGCGGGAGTGTGACTTCGGATAGTGATCAGGATAGTCTTTACAAAACGATATCTGTAATTAAGTAAAAGTTTGTTTAGTGGTCGACGGGCCTGTTGGTCTTGTGGTTTGTGACCCTGACTGCTAAGCCGGAGGTAGAGGGTTCGAATCCCACCCAGAATAAATATTATGTGATGAGCACGGTCATTTGTTCTGTGTTTGGGTGTAATTTATCTATAATATGTATGTATTTAAAAATATATATAAGTATGTTTATCAGCAGTCTGGTTACCATGGCACAGACTCTGCCTAGTTTGGGATGAGACGGCCATGTGTGGGATGTGTGAGGTATTATTATTATTACGGTGCTACTCCTAATGTACTTAATTACTTATTCGTTTGATGAACGATGAACGATTTGCATCATGCTTCGACAGAAATGGATAGCTCGAGTGGAGTGATACCACGGCCTCACAGAAAACCGGTGTTAAGCAGTTCTTTTGTTGCTTTTCAACGAGTGAGAGTGGTTGCCGGAGCCCCAAGTCCCCCCCTCCATATAAGTCTGGGGGAGGGAGGTTAAAGGGCGGCAACGCACTTGTGACTCTTGAACTGCAGGTAACTATGGGCGGCGGTAGTCACTTACCATAAGGTGACCTTTTTACTCTACTAGAAGGTAATCAGTCAAAATGCTTTTCACAGCTTTTCAATGCTTTTGGGGGAAAATGCCTCAGGCATTTTAGTGCATAAGATATTAAAATAAAATAAATAGATAGGTAAGTATATAAAAATTGAGAATATTTGTCTTAAATTTCCTCAAGTTCAAGTCCTCACCTGTCCACATCCCTGACAGTCGCTCAGTTTATTTTGCCTCCATTCCCTGCAGGGTACATGAGCACAGAACCTGGGGTACAACAGCGCCTCCTGCTCCCATGGCACCAACCGACGCTTTAGGACTTTCTCACACGACACAATCATTTGCATTCGTATCAATCTGTAGTCTTGTCCGGTAATATTCTTTATGTCTCCGTAAATGTGTTTATGATCTGAAAAACAAAATTTGATTTTTTGTAACTGCTATATAAGCGAACGAATTCTAAGAGTTTATTTATCTATACAAATGTTCAGTAATGTTTAATGGTGGGTAACCATTTTAATTTGAACAAAGCCTTTTTATTATATCTAACAGATATTGAAGACTTCGCTCAAAGCTGCGCCGCTTAGATCCTCACCTTTCAAATGTCCTATAGTACAAACAGCAAAACAAAGCGCTTGATGCAGCGGCCAATCTTCGTCTTTATGCTTGATACCACAATAGAACACCAGATTACAGTAACAGCAAGGTAATCTAGCACCACCTAAATTTTTATTGCACACATGACAAGAACTCTGCAGAAAGACTTTTCTAAAATTGTACTTATAAACGAATTCCTCGTTTGCACTTAACTTGCAGTTTTTTAAATCTTTTAACTTATTTGTCGTTTGAGTATTCTTTGACTGTTTCCTTTCAACGTCCACAGCATCTTTTATCTTCACAGTGGCGGTTATTTCATTGGGAATTTTGTCTTTTTCTTTTTTATAATCCCTTTTATTCGATGATACAGGAATATCTGGATGGCCTAGCAAGTTTTTTGGCGGCGACAAAGGAGGTTTTTCTTCATCTGGTGCAGTTATATTAATCTTTGGGTTGCATTGTTCTTGAGTTTCATTGACGATTAATTCAAATGTTTTATTTACGTCGTCCACACTTGATGTTAGAGCATCTTCAAAGTTTTCAATTGGTTCAAAGTCAGACAGATCTTGTTCATTTAATTCATTTGCAGAACTTGACTGCTGTTTACCTTTTTCCTTAGTATCTTTGGATCCACTTTTGTTTTCAGTCTTGGTATCTGTTTTTTCTTCTCTTTTCACTTCTTGAGTGGTGGTAGCAGATTGAGTAGTAGTACCTTGAGTGCTTTGAGTAGGTTGAGAAGTTGTTTGTATATTTTGTTTGCCCTTCTTTTTCTTGTGTTTATTTTTGTTATCCTTTCTTTCCGGACACACTGGTGGTGTATCTGGTTGGGCATCTTTTTCTTTTAGATCCTTTTCCTGACTTTTCTCCTTGGTTTTTAACTCAACTGTTGTATTATCTACTGGCAATGTTAGTGAAACTGAGGTGGCAGGAAATTCATCAACCTTCTCTTGTTTGGCTGTTTCAAGGTTTTCTATTGTTTTTTTCTCAGTCGTAGATGGCACTAAACCCTCTTTAGGTTCAACTGTGGTAGGTGATATATTCTTTGACTCGTCTATAATTATTACTTTAGTTTTACTTTCGGTTGCACATTTGGTTGATTCAGGTTGAAATATTTCAAAATCTGCTTGTTGAATATCAATATTTTTAGATGTTTTATCGTCTAATAATAATAAAGGCTTCTCTAATTGTTTCTGACATTCTTCTGTGACTTTGAATTGTTCTATAGATTTCTCAATCTCAGTCTTTTTTGCCTGTGCATCTTGACACACTATTTCGGTATCATTTTTTCTTGACATGGTATCAGCTTGCATTATTATATTAAAATTTTCCTGAATTTCTAGCCTACATCCTTCACTTGCCTTTTCAGTTACTTCCTCATTTTTTTCCATAGATGTCAATTCTGCTAAAGATCTTTCAATAGATAACCTTAATTCTTCCATGTCTTGATTTACTTCCATCATTTTAGATTTTATATCGGTCTTTTCTTCTTTTGGTGGAACTTTTTTCTCCTGACTCTTCGTTGTTACTTCAAGAGTTGCAGCTTTAACATTGTCTTGTTTCTGTGTGTCTAATACAACTTGTAAAGGAAATATTTCTCCTATTACAGTTCTGTTATTATTATCGTCCATTAATTGCTGGCTTACTGACCGTGGATAAGTTATATCCGGTATCGTCTCACAAGGAGAACCTTCGGATTCGTCAGCTTTTATGCTACTTATTTCTATGTCATAAATCCTGGTTATATCAGAATTATCCATCTTCTCTTCTACATTTTTTATCTCTTCTAGCGTAGGAGTAAAATCTGCCGCTTGTATTGCAACTTGTGTCACTTGTTCCGTAGCTTGTTGTTTATGTTCATCTTTTTGAGGTGGTTTCGGCGATTTTCTGCGTTTTTTACCAGACTTTGTTTCATTTTTTTTTGCATCATCTTTTCTTTCTACAGCCAAGGTATCGTACTGAACAGGCTTTCCCTCCTCGAAACTTTCAGGTGTTAAAAGAACATGACCCGGAGTACTAGGTTCACATGGCAGATCAACTTTTAGTTTTGATTCCAATGCCGGATCTACTGTGATATTTACATCACTTGAATCACTCCTTTTACTTTCTTCTTGTTTTTGTATTACCCCCGTTTCACTAACTGAGGGTTGTTCTAGATTGCTTGGAAATATCTCAAATTCATTTTTTTTTGGATCGGTTTCATGTTGAGAATCCAATATTTCAAAACTAACATCAGGAGTTCTAGGTACTTTAGCTCCCTTCTTACGCTTCTTGCCAATTGCTTCTGAACTTATATTTAATGATTCAGAGTCATGTGGTTTGATCTCTGCTATATTTTCGGTGCTAGCCTGTGGAATAATAAAATCAGTAGGTTCCTGTTGACTAATTGAGTCATGCGGTTTGAACTCTGTTATATTTTTGGTGCTAGTCTGTGGAATACTAAAATCAATAGGTTCCTGTTGACTATCTTGGATAGGGTTTTCTGTAACTACACGTAATGTTTCTTCTTTAATCACTTTTGTTTCTGCACTTTCTAATTCAACACGCGGAGACTGTTCATCTGATATTGTGACATGCAGTGTACTTTCATCAGGTTGAATATCTTGATTTCCTTTACTTTTTTTCTGAACCGGCTTTGCTATTTTAGCTTTAGGTTTTGGACTTGTTTTCTGGACAATTATTTCCGGCTTTTCAATTTCGACAATATCTTTGGAACACTCTTCTTTAGCTATATTCTCTGCAGAAAATGAAATTACATTTGCAATATCTTCCTTAAAAGCAGAAGTATTTTCTACACTCTGAGGGCTATGTTTTTTGTCCTTTTTGTTCTTCTTTTTACTTTTACCTTCTGGAGTAGGTAATTGTTGAGGTTCTTTAGGTTTTTGATTTTCTATGTTCATTTCAACAATAATCTCTTCCACTGAATTATTCTTCCCTGATATAATTTCACTTTCTGGCTCTGTACTCTTTACAGGCATAACCGTGTCTTCAAAACTATCTTCCACTTTAAAGGCTGGAGCTTCATCTTTGGCTCCTATGAGTTTTTTAAAGCCTGTAGTACAAGAAATCTCCTCTTTTTCACATGTTTCAGAATCATTTCGCTTTTTCTTTTTATTTTTCTTCTTTGACGGCTTAACTTCTGGCTCCGCTGATTCTATATGTAAGGGAATTTCCTGTGCTACTTCAGGTTCATTTTTAATATTTGTGGTTGGCAATGTGATTTGCTCAATGTCAGATGGAATAGGCTCTTCAGTCTTTTGTTCTTCGTTTTTCTTTTTATTTTTCTTTTTGCGAACAATGGGCACAATTGGTAATTCTACTGGCTCTGCTTCTAGAATATTATTACTGCTCTGATCTAAAACAGGTTTTTCATCACTTTCTTTTGATTCTTCTTCTAACTTTGTCTCGAAATCATCTTCTTTACCTTTTTTCTTCTTGCCTCTATTCCTCTTAGGTTTTTTTGGTGACTCTTCATCTCTTGTCTCAATATGTGGCGGAATGATTTCACTAATGATTTCAGGAACACGTTCTTCTTTCACACTTTCAATTGTTTCTTCCACAGTTTCACTAGATTTTCCTTGATTTCCATCATCACTAATCACTCCTAAATCAAGTTTATCACCAAGTTTTTCTTCTTGCGGTGGATTCGGCACTTTACCCTTTTTATTTTTACCCTTTTTATTCATGTTCGCTACACAAATTCACGACTAGCAGACTTGGGATCAGAGTTAGCGAGTGTCTAAATACAGATTGTATCTGACCGAAATGTTGGACCGCACTTCTGTTCTAAAATGTCCACGTGTAAAATTACTAAATGTCACACAGATAATATTAGTCAAATTTATACCATATCTTAAGGAGATTATAGCATGTTTTTGAGTGCACATTAGAGTCATTTGTGCATAAGGAAGTAACGAGTGCCAAGTGTGCATCGCTGTGTGTAAATATAGTTTATTATATTTATGTAATTGTTTCTCAATACTTTGGCTATTGTTTGTTGATGAATTATGATAATTATGTATTGTATTTTATTTAATGGCGGTTGTGATTGTCACTTGGGCGGCTAAAACAATTTTTCATACGAAAGTATTTGAACGTATTGGTTGAGCAAAGTCCTAAGAATAGAATGTCAAACTGTCTTAAGGGTATCACTTATATTTATTTATTTACTGCATGTACAATTATATGTGTCGGCTGACTTACTGCCTAAGAAATTCTCAGAGACTGCGTAGCGTAGGTGTACTTAAAAGAAGAAAATAAAAGGTAGAATTAATTAAATATTAAGTAAATATTGACAAATTTTGACAGGTATACTCACCAGTTTATTATGTACCAGCATTTGCCCGCGGCTCCGCCCGCGTGTAAGTCGGTTATCGAGGTAAAAAGTGTCCTATGTTACTCGCTATTAATGTAACTTTTCATTGGCGCAAAGCTTTTTCAAACCGTATAAGTGGTTAAGGCGTGAAAGCGTAACAAACAAACTCACTTTAACATTTGTATTATAATTATTTGACTAATAGGTCTTAATAGGACCTATGAAATTGCCGTTTTGTATGCAATAAGTGAAAGTACTTATTTTTTGAATTTTTTTTATTTCTGTCATTCGAAGTAATCACCCATGCAATCGACGCATCTTTGCCAACGCATTGGCAGTTTATTGATGCCCTTCTTGTAAAAATCAGCTGGACGGGGGGCAACAAACTCTTCAAAGGCATTTTGTACTGCCTCTCGGGAATTGAATTTTTTACCCACTAAAAAGTTGTATAATTTTTGGAAAAAGTAATAGTCGGTAGGTGCAAGGTCTCGCCTCGCCGCTTCCTACTGCGCTGAGTGTCATGGATTCGATGCCCACATGTCTGTGTGTAAAGTCCTCGGCGACACTAGTAATAAGTAGCCTAAATCTTTCCTCAAAAATCAAAGTATCTTCATACAAAATTTCATTTAAAACGGTTCACCGGTAATTGATTCCCTATACAAACTTCCACCCTGTTTTTCACCTCCTTAAAGGATGATTTCTGCGACCTACCTACCTAAACTACCCTATGTCCTTGCCCGGGACTCGGACGATCTCTGTAACAAATTTCATTTAAATCGGTACAGCGGTTTAAGCGTGAAGAGGTAACAGAAAGACAGACAGATAGACACACTTTCGCATTTATAATATTAGTATGGACAGGGGGCAAGCGAGCACACGAGTCACCTGATGGAAAGTGACTACCGCCTCCCATGGATACTTGTAACTCAGGAGTCACAGGTGCATTGCCGGCCTTTGAGGTAGACATCATCAATTATCAACAGCCTTTAATAGTCCACAGCTGGACACTAGAAAGGAGATTTGGCCGACTATACCACGCTGGCCAGACGGGTTAGTCTAGGGTTTATTTCAGGTTTTCCTTCTCTTTGCAGCGCTGTTGTCCTGCGTAGTTTGCTCCTACGGCTATTACGACACCCACGGGATGAATAGGGGTGGTGACATTCCGTCCGGTACCACACGAACTTTGAGGAAAGAGTACGCTCTATCCTTGAAGGTTTGGAGGGCGTATCGGCAATACCAAAGGGGACAAAACCCTACCTATTTAAAGTTTAAACGTATATGAAGTACAGAAGTACAGAAAACTGAAGTTTTAAATAATGTGTCATAGATTTAAAATGTTCGTGAGAATTGTCACAAAAAGCTACACAGGTCAAACAACTACTCAGAAGAAATGTATCGTGATTATGATGATAAATCTAAAACAGAACCAAGTCAAGTGTATGTTGCGTCCCTTACAGATTAAGGTTCCGAAGTTTATTTATATAATATGTATGTTTAAAACAAGTAACATTTGCATCTAAAGTTTTTTTTAAGGCATTTGACATTTATTACGAAATTCGCCAAATAATTACGTTTATAAGATAATTGCCAGCGGCGGATATTTCATACTACCGTTTCAACTTCCATATTACCGTTCATCCCTTATTGTAACCCCTTAGGCTTAAATTACAAATCAAACCTTTTGTTTTGTAATCTAAGTACTTAGGGGTGAAATTGCCAAAAATCCTCTCTTAGTGAGTGCTGCTGTAAGCTTTTGGAAATTGATGAACGAATTGATGATGGAATTAAAAAAAAATAGAAAATAAATTAAAAAAAAAAGCGTGGGGTGCTTTTTACTATTGACAACAGGCACCCAGCGCTTTTTTTCAAATTTATTTTCTATTTTTAGTTTGGTTTTCTATAGAAAGCATGTTTTTTAGTTTTTTAAAACTATTTTTTTTTTAATTAGTGTATTGTCATCAGTCCTCGATATATCTACAAAGTTTGAACGAATTCTGACCGTTTAAAGTCAGTCAAAATCACGCCCAATGGAGTCGGTTACAAACATACAAACAAACATACAAGTGAAGCTAATATAAAGCGTGTAAAAAGCATCAGCTGCCAAAATTTGAAGTTAGTAGCTCCAGCGATTTATGCTCTGCGTTGATAAGTCAGTCAGTCAGGCAAGTAATCTATACTAATATTATAAAGCTGAAGAGTTTGTTTGTTTGTTTGAACGCGCTAATCTTAGGAACTACTGGTCCGATTTAAAAAATTCTTTCAGTGTTAGATAGCCCATTTATCGAGGAAGGCTATAGGCTATATATCATCACGCTAAGACCAATAGGAGCGGAGCACCAATGAAGAATGTTTCAAAAACGGAGAAAATGTATTACTATTGAGAGACGCAGACGAAGTTGCGCGGTTCAGCTAGTTATATATAACTAGCTGAACCGCGCAACTTCGTCTCCGTCTTCAGCTCTAAAATATTAGTATAGATATAAACAACTCTTCAGCTTTATAATATTAGTATAGATATAAACTATATTACTCTTAAACATAAGAGCTGCCTCGGTGGTGCAGTAGTAGCGTATGCGACTGCTGTGATGAGGTCTCGGGTTCGATTCCCGGGTTGGACTTAATATTTTTAGGATCTGCAAATATTTGTTTCGGAGTTTGGGTGTTTTTTATGTATAATATGTATGTATTTTGAAAAAAAAATGTACATTAGTATTAGACTATCAATCAATCTAGATTTCATAGTACAAGCTTTGATTAGTTTGAAACTAGATGTCGTTCTGTCAGATGTCCTAAAAAAAAGGGGGGGGGGGAATCCCAATTCTGACGAAAATTAAATTAAAGTTCAATATTTTGCAATTGCATCATCGAATCAAAAATAAACTTCAAACCCTTTAAGGGACCTATTCAAAAACAATGACGAGACGAGACAATCATCCCTAGGTGTAAGGGAGGTACAATGGTTTTATTATTTTACAACTTTAAGGGTATGATAGATAGGTAAATATTCCCATGCGAAATTCAACATTCGGGTAATAAAGCTTTTTGAGCTAAGCCGTAAATGGACGGAAAATGGACGTGGCGAGATTATAAGGGTTCCTATTTAGGGCTGTAGAACCCTAAAAAGGGTCATAAGTGTCTGTGGAATATAATCTAAGTCATAGAATTTTTAAATATATTACGTATCATTAACATTCTGACTCCAAAAAAAAGGCACCCAACCACCTTAGGGTTGCCACTGCCAAAAACCAGTATTCTACTTCTAACACAAAAGGTGTATTTATCGAACAATGCGAGTTTTTTATCTATTATAGACCTGTCAAAATGCAAAGTCAAAAACCTTTTTTAACATTATCTCGTCACGATCAGTTCTTTGATTGACCTACATAAATCTTTTACGCGTGTCTAAGCGCACGAGAACAACTGTCATATGTTCTAAAACTAACAAAAAATATATTAATCCATCGGAAATTCAACCCTACCACATTAAAAATAAGTTCGAAAACAACTTTATGTTTGTAGTAACATTCTCTGTAAGAAACCAGTATGAGTATTAAAGAAAATTGATCCTTCTAGTAATACAGTTAAGGTACATATTCAGTTTAACAGGTTTATTGCGATAGCGTGCCAAAGTGTTTCCCCTTTTTTTAATGCTAATAAAAGGCGGACAGCCCTAACTACATGAATAGACCGGGAGCCGGTTACCTTTTCAAGTAAAACATGACTAGTTTTGAATTAATTATTATAATACATCAGTAATTAAGTCGTGTTCAAGAATACATACATACTAATTAGGTTTTTGACAAATATCTTTTGATAGTGTAACTTTGGAACTGTAATAAAGTTTAGTCATCTAAATACTGCATTGTGTTCTTACACAATATTTGTTTTATGATAACGTAGCCTGTAGTTAAAGGCAGGTGTATTTTAAAGCAGCTCTCTTGAATAAATTATTAATATCAGTCATGGACGAATAAAAAAAGTCGGACGAAACTCCCGCTAAGAAAACTGAGGCACCGTAATGGCGGCAGTTCTTTGTGTTAGAATGAATTTAGGGTTGCCAAGTTACCCAAATTTATGCCCTAAAAACACAGTCAAAAAATAAAAATATTTTATTTGTTTCAACCTTGAGAGATTTTTGAAATTTCGGGATGCGGTGAAACCGAATCGTTAAATATTTTGACGATATATATTTAATAAGACTTTATTTGTGTTCTGTTCTGTTCTGTTTGTATAAAAAAAAGAAACTATTTTCATTGCAAACAAACTTCTAGAATTTTTGTGAGAATATATTTATGTCGTCTTTCATTATCACTATTACAAGTTCGAATAATTTGAATCTAATAATTAAAAAGTAAAAAGAGTATGAAATAA